TACTTGTTTTTTGCCAATGCTGTAAGAACACAAATACTCCAACTTTGATCATATGCAATGATGTAAAAACAGCTTTTATTATTAAAAAAACCCCAAAGAAATTGTATTTTTCGTTGGTACAAAAACGTCTGTGGCCTAAAAGTACTAAATAAAGTGTATAAAGAGTATACAAAATTGAATATAATTATTTTGACAGATTTGCCAAGATTTGGTTTCTCGTGTTATTCTGAGAGCCGATGGAGGTGTACACATACACGAACTTTTGCTTGAAATCGAAACATCAGTTGTACTGTTAAATCTACTGAATCTACTGAACCAGCCCATGCTTGCTCCTTTATAACAATGATCTCGTGCTGGGCTCCATTAAGTTCTATCAAAACCAGCACGAGAAAAAACACTTTATTAAAATAACTTGCGTGTGGAAAACACAAAATGTTGTAGAGTATATAATATACCAGAGACGACAGCATGGCCGGGGAGGGGTACCGAACCAAGAGAGGGGCATATACTGTTTGGTTGGATTATGTTTTCAGTTAAACACATGGATTGCCATATAGACATGCGTTAAGGTCTATAGTATCTGCGTTTAATGCACACGGTACAGGTAGGTCGGTGTGAACAAATCGGCTAATGGTTTGAAACCATATGAACGGCCATGACAATCTCAACACACGAATATGTCGATATGACGATAGAACATAGATAGTATAGCCTTCAACTAAATACACACATGATCATATTAGCTGTTGATATTCCCTATATTTGCCAATCTACATGCTTAGGAAAACAAGTTTGACAAAATATCTTCCTGTCTACAATTATGGTTTTGTTTTTCTCGATGCGATATTTGTGGCTGGTGACATAGCTGACCGTTTTCAGAAGCTGTCTTAGATTTCCATGACGTCCGGTCAATAAACATTTATGAAACTATTTCACCACAACGCGTACACAGCGAGGCATGACCCGGTGTTTTGTTGTTTTGTAGAGCCCTGTAAATTAATAGAACCTACATATCTGGTAACGTTTGACACTAACCAGTGCAATTACCCCAGGAACAATGGTATCAATTTCGGCATGATTACGGCTTTACAATTAGGGTAAAGGGGGCTGTAGGCACAATTGCCCCGACGTTGTACCGTGACGTCACGAGGGATCATGCTCCAGTGCGCTGCATGACGTACCCCACCATCAGGCGCTATTGTCCTTGCGTACGCCAAGCTATACATAGAACATGTTATACACCTGTATGATGTACATTATGATGTATTATTAGGATTAATACAACCATTTATAACATATTTCCTCAGACTTCAGGACGTCTGATAACAAGGTCATATTCTACACACATGAACTTACATGAATACAATTCATCATGTTTCGTATTTTAGGAGTAACCAGAAACTTAACGTTAAAAAATATTATAACTTAAACTCTCGCATCACAACACACCCTCTAATCAACTTTCACATGCTCTCACAAAATAACGCAAGCTCTCATATATTTATACATGCTTTCATTATATAACACAAACTCTCACTTTCTTCCAGACACCATCTTGAGCCAGCTTGACTCTACTGTCAACGGGAAGAAGGCTGATGCACTGACACAAGACACTAACGCCATCGTCGCCTTTGTGCCTCGCAAACAGAAGAACGCACCAATAGTGACCCCTGTGGAACACGCGCACTTTGTCACAAAACGGGAATCTCGAAAAACCCTGATGGGAAAGAAAAACCGAATTTTCCCCAAAGGTGGGGACAGGAAACCTACAGAGGTTGATATCGAGATGGAGAAGTTTGCCGCTAGTGGCATTGACCTTGAGAACGTCACCGACGAGTTTAAACAGTCGGAGGTCATGGAAACCATCCGGGCACTTCCTTGTAATATGATGGTCAAGGTCATGTTGAGGTATATCGTGTTTCTGACTTCGTCTTTATTTGTATTTTTTAATCATTAGTTTTATCTCTTTCTTCGGTTATTTTTGTAATTGATTGATGGATTGATCCATCCATCATCCATCCATCATCCATCCGTCCGTCCGACCGTCCTTCCTTCCATTCATTCATTCGTTCATTTTACAATCCGTTTCATACTACTTTATTAAGTCTGTTTGCTTTGTCAATCCTGTTTAAGAGAACAACCCAAATGGTGACAACCAACTATTCACAATGCCATCAATTGGCCACGGTAAACTGAACACAAAGACCATCGAGAATATTATGTAACACATTTTCATGAAATACTATCACAATTGATAGTAACACGAACCTGCGCTCGCACCTATTCAGGATATTAGAACGTAGGTGTATAATGTATGTCAGATAGTCATTATCATCATGCAGTGAGTGCAACATCTGTGGCGGCAAGCAACGTGAGCCATGCTGCAGTGTCAGGTGATACATTGTAGTCTTCGGGGGGACATTATCACCTCCACAATCGTCGCTGTCCAGGTAATGGCGGGCATGGACACGTACAGGGAGCTCTGGGGAAATCTTTGATTAACTCACCCGTCCTTCCAGGATTCAGGATTTCAAGCGATTCCTCCGTAAGGATGTGCATGGTGATATTCCAAAGATGTTTTGCATTTAGACGAGAGTGATTCCAACTGCTTTTCGCTAACTCTATGTTTAGATACGAAAAGGTTCTGTGGGCAAGAAGCTACAAATTGTAACTGCACCTGGACGCATCTGGAAGCGAATTATCATGATACAAATTTGAAAGGCAAAGCTACAGTGCACACATATTGGATCCATTGATATGTAAATGTATAAATGCGTATCACAGTTGGCACTACTTATGGATGAGGACATATATAACAGAGTGTCCACGGGGTTGTAAATCTGGTTCACATTGAGGTGCAGCGTAGAAATAGTATCCTTGGCGTCACAGACCCTGGCAGAATAAGCATGTTCTGAGAAACCTCTACAGTTGGTACAGCGGAGTTCTAAACCCACTCAGGACCAAGATGCGCCTGGGGAAAGGCGATAAGAAGTTGAGTCAGAAGGAGCTGAGGAATTTATTCATCAGGGATTATGTCAAGAGCGGGCGGATGAAATGGGCTCGTCACAGGTACATGGTACATGGTGCACGATACTTAGTGCATGATAGGTGATGTTTGGTGCATTGTGCATGGTGACGTGGTGGAGAGGTGTCTTGGTGACGTGGTGACGTGGTGTCGTGGTGATGTGGTGTCGTGGTGACGTGGTTATATGGTGGCGTGGTGGAGAGGTAACGTGGTGACGTGGTGTCGTGGTGACGTGGTGACGTGGTGATATGGTGGCGTGGTGGAGAGGAGGCATGGTGGCGTGGTGACGTGTTGATGTGGGGACGTGGTGTCGTGGGGATGGATAAACTAAGGTCCAGCACGAGGGGCTTGGAATATGATGGAATCAAGATGAAGGTTGATGGTGTCACTTTTCTAAGTCAAACACATCTGAAAAGTATGTTGGTAGCACTGCTGAAGTCAGCAACACCAATCACCACCACGACATTTGAAACCACCACATTTTGTGTTTTATTTGTTTGGCATTAACGAAGCATCATGACCTCATATTTTGTTTTTAATGCAACCGTGAAATTGATCAACCATCACTGTTAGTCAGGCGGAACACTAATAACAGAGACATGGTGGATTCATATAGGATGTCAGAACGAATTCATAACTGAATACAGACATGATAGTAGAGATGTGTTGGTCATCAAAGAAAAAAAATCAGGGGTTGGGGTTGGCTTCGACAGATGTGAAACACTGGTTGTCAACTTCCAGAGGAGATCGGTTTCAGTCCTGACACAACTGCCATACATCAACCGCCATTATTGGTATTGTACTGAACAGACATACATGTATGTCACATCTATGACTCATATATAAATATACATAGCATCTGGATGATACGGCGGCGATAGATCCCTATAAGCACTCATACAATGGTGACCTCAATATGTTTGCAGAGAGAAGCTTTTCGCTGGTCCAGTTCGGGGTCTATCAACATGGGAATCCTGGAAGTACCAAGTGTCCAGGGTAGGTATCAATGTACGCCCCATGGCTTGTTACGTGCTGCTTGTCATTGAACGGATTTACTGTAATTTCTCTAAAACCATCTCTCTGTGGTACAAGAACGTCTCCAAAAGCAGTTTTATTTGTAAACTGTCATAGAAGTTTATTATATATTAGTGTAGATCAATTAGATTAAGTGGAAATGTATATTTGGATGCTTGATATCATATGCTGAAGACGTTTTGCGATAATGGCAAAACTAATTGGATCGCTCATATAAGATTAGTATGCATTTAATATTTTAGTTTGGATGGATATCTATGGTAATTTGAATTGTTTCATAAGCTTATTTAAACAATGCTGCATGGATATTGTACTTCAAAATTGCCATTGTAATATTTAAAAAATCCACATGCTTGCAAGTATTTTGCTCTTACATTTACGCCACTGTACCAGAGAAATATCTGTCTACTTTGCCATGTTAAATTTTTTGCGCACTTCGCTGTCTAGCTTAAAAAATGAGTGTACAATACATATTCCGCTCAATAAACAACATATTCATCACTTAGTGTATGTACGAAAAGTGATCTTTCAGAAATACAAAATGAATATCATTTTCTGTTATATCGTCCATTTTTTTAAAATGTCAGGACAAATTGATCCCGGAATATTATTATGTAAAAACGTCCTTTCAAAATTTAATAATAGTCTCAATACCCTAAAAGAATCTATCAAATGTATGTCCACATATTTAGGAAGAAATGTACCCATGAAATTAGCCATGTAACAATATGACTGTTTGTGAATGTATTATGCATGTGCAAACTATGTGTATCGAATATGTAAACGAACTCTAGGCCCAACTTCTTCTCAAAATATATTCAATAATATAAACATGATTTCACGCCATTTCCAGTATTGTGTTCACAGAATATATAGGCCATTGTTGACGTTAAACAACATCATTGTTAACGATATACAAACATCATTGTTGACGTATACGTTATCACTAGTGACGTCGCAATATTAAAGACGTCTCACCTTTACAATTGATGTCCTAATGGCCTTGTTACCTTCCACGCACGGTTTCCAGTAGACACTATATGACGTATGGCTAGTGAAGAAACAGTGTGTATCCCACTGACGTGTTAACTGACTGCTATGAGCTGCACACGTGGGGAAAACATTCAGATAGTTGTTTCGTGAAATCAATACGACGCACACACTCGCCCTATTTATTACGATTTATTCTCAATATAAGATAATGAAGAACCTTGTGTGTTCACATACCAGACTTCCCACAAGTAATTGTCAGAGATATAAACTGAGGGGCAAAAGAAAGTATACCAACTTCTTTTTTTTATAGAATTAAAACTGAAAAAGAACCGGTGTTAAATTTGATAATGTCTATTAAACCATCACTGGGTTAGGAAATGAATTTAAACAACACGACCACTGCCATGTTTCCAGTGTTGTAAATAAAAGGTAAGATGTGTTGGGTACCTATCAGCAGTTGTGTATTATGCGAACTTTTATTTGTTTTTGTTTTTAAGGTTTTAAATCAAAACAAATGAAAGACAATATAACCATATAGACGTATTCTTTGATTGCTGACGAAGCATCAGCACAGTTCATGGTGGGGTATAATATCAAACATATGATAAAATCAACTGAGAACTATGGCCTCCTTTGTTCACCAGATAATAGGTACTTGTATTCTGTCTCTACACAAAATCGAGTCAGAGCTATTTTAACTCCTAGCTCCATTAAATGTCCCAAATTATTTTGAAATCTACTTTGGTATATTTGTATATGTGTTTTGCGGTCACCTTTAATTAATTTTTGGTCGTCTCTGTGAAAATACTTACGTGATATATGTCTCAGTGAATGTTACCGACTTGATACGTCATGTGTATTTTGGTTGTGCATGTACGAAGCCCCCTTGTGCTGTGAAGGATCATAGAGATGTCTATGGGCTTCCTTAAGGGGTGGTGGGGTAGCCTAGTGATTAAAGTGTTCGCTCGTGTCGCTGAAGACCCGGGTTGGATTCCCGACATGGGTACAATGTGTGAAGCCCATTTCAGGTGTCCCCCGCCGTAATATTGCTGGAATATTGCTAAAAGCGGCGTAAAACAATACTCAATCACCTCCCACAGGGTAATACAGGACCATTTGTTCCATAAAACGTTAATGTCTTACGATCATTAATATTCGTTTTCCTGTCAAATATAATGTCTCTATAAAATGGAAGTAACAGATTTAAGAAATCAGAGTCATATAGCACCAGTCGTAAGTATAGATCAACGCCACAGCAGAAATTGTTAAGGTCTAAGAAAGCCTTCTTTGTCCGTCCAAGATCACGGAAATAAAGGCATGCATATAGGCCAAGATGTATCGTATTGGACGTCATCGTCTTCGTCAGTTACTTTTTTCTTGAATTACGTTTTGCTCAACACTCAACACATGTGCGATTTGGAATGAATCAGTGGCGACCACATTTTATGACAGAAAGAGCAATCCTCACATAAGATCTTCGCCACGTTGAACTGTTAAACGGAAAATTAACACTGAGGTTCAAGATATCACAGTATCAAAGCAACGCCTAAATGTATCCGAGTCAGTTCTCATTCGCATCATGTCCGTTCTGTAGCACTGTATATAATGATGAGGGTCAATATTATTGTGATCAACAGTCGTGGAAGAAATTCAGGATTCATTCAAGAGAAGTGATGTATTCCATCGAGTTATGGGGAAGCTCATTCCGTGGGATAGAAGGTAAGTACATATCATATCATTTTTTATTTACAACAATAGTAATCATAAGGATGACGAATGCACATGTTCTTCTTCATAATGTTCATAGACAACACATTGACCTGTTTATATACTGCTACTGCACCATGCCTATGCGCGTGGGTTTAACCATTTTACTCGCATTTTCAGCCATTTTGTATTTATGTGATTATCTCCCTTCGTTCAAGGTCACCAAGGTACGGGGGTGCTGTCCTACTTTGTATTCCTGAGGTGGTTGTTTGGCCTCAACTTTGTGCTGTTTCTCCTCCTGTTCGGTTTCATCACTGTGCCCATGATCCTGCAGCCTGCCATCAACTACAGCGGCACCAGCACCGACACCGCCGTCAACCTCTCCTACTACTGCACAGAACTGTACATCCTCAACATCTCCACCAATGCAGCAGAACTCATACTCGATTTCATACAGGGAACGGTATGTTATGACACCCTGCCAGAGTTATCCCCCTTTAGCCTCTTTAGTTGTGAAGGTTCTTTAACACCATTTCGTAGTTCATTAATTAGGGTAGCCATCTTGAGTTGTACACATATCCGCTGACCTTTCGCCAATACTGACTGTCATCATTATTTGATTGTGATGTTCACACATGTTCATAATATAGTACGAATCATACAATGGGCTCAGTTTTTAGTTGGAATTTCTTCTTGGTGCTTTTAATTTATACTAATATGGACAGATTGTGGGTCTCCATATGCCGATAAACGAAATACAAGTGATTTTAAAATGAATATCAACTATGTGATTAAAAACGTACAATTTGAAGGTTAACCCATATATTTTATTATTTGATGTATATTAATATTACATAAATAAGTCATTGTAAGTCAGACTAAACAAGGGAGTATCATGTACCCCCTATCTCTCCAGGGCTACATGGAGAAGACGTACCTGTTCTATGGCTTCTACTCCGGCACCCAGTTCCTGACGGGGTCTGGCGTTTCCAGCAGCTACGTGTACAACGTGCCCCTCGCCTACTTCCTCGTCGCCGTCGTGTGTCTACTTGTCAGCCTGTTCCTCATGGCTAAATAGTAGGTACCTGCAAACACTAAACGCTATGTATCTGCATACACCACACAAGACACACTGTGCTCTATGATTGATTTGTACCTGCATACACTACACGCTATGTATCTGCATACATCACACAAGACACACTGTGCTCTATGATTGATTTGTACCTGCATACACTACACGCTATGTATCTGCATACATCCCTAGACACACCGTGCTCTATGATTGATTTGTACCTGCATACACTACACGCTATGTATCTGCATACACCACACAAGACACACTGTGCTCTATGACTGATTTGTACCTGCATACACTAAACGCTATGTATCTGCATACACCACACAAGACACACTGTGCTCTATGGTTGATTTGTACCTGCATACACTACACGCTATGTATCTGCATACATCCCTAGACACACTGTGCTCTATGATTGATTTGTACCTGCATACACTAAACGCTATGTATCTGCATACACCACACAAGACACACTGTGTTCTATGACTGATTTGTACCTGCATACACTACACGCTATGTATCTGCATACACCACACAAGACACACTGTGCTCTATGACTGATTTGTACCTGCATACACTACACGCTATGTATCTGCACACACCACACAAGACACACTGTGCTCTATGACTGATTTGTACCTGCATACACTACACGCTATGTATCTGCCCACATCACACAAGACACACTGTGCTCTATGACTGATTGTACCTGCATACACTACACGTTATGTATCTGCACACACCACACAAGACACACTGTGCTCTATGATTGATTGGTACCTGCATACACTACACGCTATGTATCTGCATACACCACACAAGGCACACTGTGCTCTATGACTGATTTGTACCTGCATACACTACACGCTATGTATCTGCATACACCACACAAGACACACTGTGCTCTATGATTGATTTGTACCTGCATACACTACACGCTATGTATCTGCATACATCACACAAGGCACACTGTGCTCTATGACTGATTTGTACCTGCATACACTACACGCTATGTATCTGCACACACCACACAAGACACACTGTGCTCTATGATTGATTTGTACCTGCATACACTACACGCTATGTATCTGCATACATCACACAAGACACACTGTGCTCTATGACTGATTTGTACCTGCATACACTACACGCTATGTATCTGCACACACAACAGAAGACACACTGTGCTCTATGGTTGATTTGTACCTGCATACACTACACGCTATGTATCTGCATACATCACAAGACACACTGTGCTCTATGATTCTACACGCTATGTATCTGCATACACCACACAAGACACACTGTGCTCTATGATTCTACACGCTATGTATCTGCATACATCACAAGACACACTGTGCTCTATGACTGAATTGTACCTGCATACACTACACGCTATGTATCTGCACACACCACACAAGACACACTGTGCTCTATGATTGATTTGTACCTGCATACACTACACGCTATGTATCTGCATACATCACACAAGACACACTCTGCTCTATGACTGATTTGTACCTGCATACACTACAAGCTATGTATCTGCACACACCACACAAGACACACTGTGCTCTATGACTGATTTGTACCTGCATACACTACACGCTATGTATCTGCATACATCACTAGACACAATGTGCTCTATGATTCTACACGCTATGTATCTGCATACACCACACAAGACACACTGTGCTCTATGATTCTACACGCTATGTATCTGCATACATCACAAGACACACCGTGCTCTATGACTGATTTGTACCTGCATACACTACACGCTATGTATCTGCATACATCACAAGACACATTGTGCTCTATGACTGATTTGTACCTGCATACACTACACGCTATGTATCTGCACACACCACACAAGACACACTGTGCTCTATGACTGATTTGTACCTGCATACACTACACGCTATGTATCTGCATACACCACACAAGACACACTGTGCTCTATGATTGATTTGTACCTGCATACACTACACGCTATGTATCTGCATACATCACACAAGACACACCGTGCTCTATGATTGATTTGTACCTGCATACACTACACGCTATGTATCTGCATACATCACACAAGACACACTGTGCTCTATGACTGATTTGTACCTGCATACACTACACGCTATGTATCTGCACACACCACACAAGACACACTGTGCTCTATGATTGATTTGTACCTGCATACACTACACGCTATGTATCTGCACACACCACACAAGACACACTGTGCACTATGATTGATTTGTACCTGCATACACTACACGCTATGTATCTGCATACACCATACAAGACACATCGTGCTCTATGATTCATTTGTACCTGCATACACTACACGCTATGTATCTGCATACATCACACAAGACACACCGTGCTCTATGATTGATTTGTACCTGCATACACTACACGCTATGTATCTGCATACACCACACAAGACACACTCTGCTCTATGATTGATTTGTACCTGCATACACTACACGCTATGTATCTGCATATATCACACAAGACACACTGTGCTCTATGATTGATTTGTACCTGCATACACTACACGCTATGTATCTGCACACACCACACAAGACACACTGTGCTCTATGATTGATTTGTACCTGCATACACTACACGCTATGTATCTGCATACACCACACAAGACACAATGTGCTCTATGATTGATTTGTACCTGCATACACTACACGCTATGTATCTGCACACACCACACAAGACACACTGTGCTCTATGATTGATTTGTACCTGCATACACTACACGCTATGTATCTGCCCACATCACACAAGACACACTGTGCTCTATGATTGATTTGTACCTGCATACACTACACGCTATGTATCTGCACACACCACACAAGACACAATGTGCTCTATGATTGATTTGTACCTGCATACACTACAAGCTATGTATCTGCATACATCACAAAAGACACACTGTGCTCTATGATTGATTTGTACCTGCATACACTACACGCTATGTATCTGCACACACCACACAAGACACATTGTGCTCTATGATTGATTTGTACCTGCATACACTACACGCTATGTACCTGCATACATCACTAGACACATTGTGCTCTATGATTGATTTGTACCTGCATACACTACAAGCTATGTATCTGCATACATCACTAGACACACTGTGCTCTATGATTGATTTGTACCTGCATACACTACACGCTATGTATCTGCATACTTCACACAAGACACAATGTGCTCTATGATTGTTTTGTACCTGCATACACTACACGCTATGTATCTGCATACATCAAACAAGACACACTGTGCACTATGACTGATTTGTACCTGCATACACTACACGCTATGTATCTGCATACACCACACAAGACACACTGTGCTCTATGATTGATTTGTACCTGCATACACTACACGCTATGTATCTGCATACATCACCAGACACAATGTGCTCTATGATTGTTTTGTACCTGCATACACTACACGCTATGTATCTGCACACATCACACAAGACACAATGTGCTCTATGATTGATTTGTACCTGCATACACTACACGCTATGTATCTGCATACATCACAAGACACACTGTGCTCTATGACTGATTTGTACCTGCATACACTACACGCTATGTATCTGCATACATCACAAGACACACTGTGCTCTATGACTGATTTGTACCTGCATACACTACACGCTATGTATCTGCACACACCACACAAGACACACTGTGCTCTATGATTGATTTGTACCTGCATACACTACACGCTATGTATCTGCATACATCACACAAGACACACTCTGCTCTATGACTGATTTGTACCTGCATACACTACAAGCTATGTATCTGCACACACCACACAAGACACACTGTGCTCTATGACTGATTTGTACCTGCATACACTACACGCTATGTATCTGCGTACATCACTAGACACACTGTGCTCTGTGATTCTACACGCTATGTATCTGCATACACCACACAAGACACACTGTGCTCTATGATTCTACACGCTATGTATCTGCATACATCACAAGACACACTGTGCTCTATGACTGATTTGTACCTGCATGCACTACACGCTATGTATCTGCATACATCACAAGACACATTGTGCTCTATGACTGATTTGTACCTGCATACACTACACGCTATGTATCTGCACACACCACACAAGACACACTGTGCTCTATGACTGATTTGTACCTGCATACACTACACGCTATGTATCTGCATACACCACACAAGACACACTGTGCTCTATGATTGATTTGTACCTGCATACACTACACGCTATGTATCTGCATACATCACACAAGACACACCGTGCTCTATGATTGATTTGTACCTGCATACACTACACGCTATGTATCTGCATACATCACACAAGACACACTGTGCTCTATGACTGATTTGTACCTGCATACACTACACGCTATGTATCTGCACACACCACACAAGACACACTGTGCTCTATGACTGATTTGTACCTGCATACACTACAAGCTATGTATCTGCACACACCACACAAGACACACTGTGCACTATGATTGATTTGTACCTGCATACACTACAAGCTATGTATCTGCACACACCATACAAGACACACTGTGCTCTATGATTGATTTGTACCTGCATACACTACAAGCTATGTATCTGCACACACCACACAAGACACACTGTGCACTATGATTGATTTGTACCTGCATACACTACACGCTATGTATCTGCATACACCATACAAGACACATCGTGCTCTATGACTGATTTGTACCTGCATACACTACACGCTATGTATCTGCATACATCACACAAGACACACCGTGCTCTATGATTGATTTGTACCTGCATACACTACACGCTATGTATCTGCATACACCACACAAGACACACTCTGCTCTATGATTGATTTGTACCTGCATACACTACACGCTATGTATCTGCATATATCACACAAGACACACTGTGCCCTATGATTGATTTGTACCTGCATACACTACACGCTATGTATCTGCACACACCACACAAGACACACTGTGCTCTATGATTGATTTGTACCTGCATACACTACACGCCATGTATCTGCACACACCACACAAGACACATTGTGCTCTATGATTGATTTGTACCTGCATACACTACACGCTATGTATCTGCATACACCACACAAGACACAATGTGCTCTATGATTGATTTGTACCTGCATACACTACACGCTATGTATCTGCACACACCACACAAGACACACTGTGCTCTATGATTGATTTGTACCTGCATACACTACACGCTATGTATCTGCCCACATCACACAAGACACACTGTGCTCTATGATTGATTTGTACCTGCATACACTACACGCTATGTATCTGCACACACCACACAAGACACAATGTGCTCTATGATTGATTTGTACCTGCATACACTACACGCTATGTATCTGCATACATCACAAAAGACACACTGTGCTCTATGATTGATTTGTACCTGCATACACTACACGCTATGTATCTGCACACACCACACAAGACACATTGTGCTCTATGATTGATTTGTACCTGCATACACTACACGCTATGTACCTGCATACATCACTAGACACATTGTGCTCTATGATTGTTTTGTACCTGCATACACTACAAGCTATGTATCTGCATACATCCCTAGACACACTGTGCTCTATGATTGATTTGTACCTGCATACACTACACGCTATGTATCTGCATACTTCACACAAGACACAATGTGCTCTATGATTGATTTGTACCTGCATACACTACACGCTATGTATCTGCATACATCACACAAGACACACTGTGCTCTATGATTGATTTGTACCTGCATACACTACACGCTATGTATCTGCATACACCACACAAGACACACCGTGCTCTATGATTGATTTGTACCTGCATACACTACACGCTATGTATCTGCATACATCACAAGACACACTGTGCTCTATGACTGATTCGTACCTGCATACACTACACGCTATGTATCTGCATACATCACAAGACACACTGTGCTCTATGATTGATTTGTACCTGCATACACTACACGCCATGTATCTGCATACATCACAAGACACACTGTGCTCTATGACTGATTCGTACCTGCATACACTACACAGGAGTCTATGTGTTCAATGATTGATTGAAAGGGGAGATGTTCAAAACCTTGAAAGTGAAAGTGCTGAAATCACACTCTCCGTTATCGTTTAAAAGAAAACTAGAAAGCTTCCGGCGCAGTGGTGACAACTGTTTTCATTGGCCGATAGGTTTGCCGCGTTTGTCCATATTTATTAGCCGTTATACATCTACTGTGCCTTCTATATATGTAAATCCTACAAAGAACATTGCATACATTGACATACTTGACATTGTGAATAATTATAATAACAATTAACAATCGGTAACTAGCGTTTAACTATTTACAACCTGTTTGGGTAATAAAACTCCAGTTGTCCCCGACCCTATTCTACACACTACATGGCAGGCATCTTCAGTGTTGGTACTAAGGTGACATAAGTAATCACGGTAATCAACTGGATTGTCAGACAGAAAAAGATTTGTGTCAAACAATCCGAGGCAGAAGCAGGCAGCCTGGGCGTCGGCCCGATCATCATGATCGTTGATCTTGCGCAGCTCGTTTGTAAGCTTGGAAGAGGTGAAGGTCACTCATATGCTGTGTGTCCCACTGGTTGGCCCGAGCTGTGTGTCCCACTGGTTGCCCCGAGCTGTGTGTCCCACTGGTTGTCCCGAGCTGTGTGTCCCACTGGTTGGCCCGAGCTGGGTGTCCCACTGGTTGTCCCGAGCTGTGTGTCCCACTGGTTGCCCCGAGCTGTGTGTCCCACTGGTTGTCCCGAGCTGGGTGTCCCACTGGTTGCCCCGAGCTGTGTGTCCCACTGGTTGTCCCGAGCTGGGTGTCCCACTGGTTGTCCCGAGCTGGGTGTCCCACTGGTTGCCCCGAGCTGTGTGTCCCACTGGTTGTCCCGAGCTGTGTGTCCCACTGGTTGTCCCGAGCTGTGTGTCCCACTGGTTGCCCCGAGCTGTGTGTCCCACTGGTTGTCCCGAGCTGGGTGTCCCACTGTTTGGCCCCGAGCTGTGTGTCCCACTGGTTGCCCCGAGCTGTGTGTCCCACTGGTTGGCCCGAGCTGGGTGTCCCACTGTTTGGCCCGAGCTGTGTGTCCCACTGGTTGCCCCGAGCTGTGTGTCCCACAGGTTGGCCCGAGCTGGGTGTCCCACTGTTTGGCCCGAGCTGTGTGTCCCACAGGTTGGCCCGAGCTGGGTGTCCCACAGGTTGGCCCGAGCTGGGTGTCCCACTGTTTGGCCCCGAGCTGTGTGTCCAAATGGTTGCCCCGAGCTGTGTGTCCCACAGGTTGCCCCGAGCTTGGTGTCCCACTGGTTGCCCCGAGCTGTGTGTCCCACTGGTTGCCCCGAGCTGTGTGTCCACTGGTTGCCCCGAGCTGTGTGTCCCACAGGTTGCCCCGAGCTGTGTGTCCACTGGTTGCCCCGAGCTGTGTGTCCCACTGGTTGCCCCGAGCTGTGTGTCCCACTGGTTGCCCCGAGCTGTGTGTCCCACAGGTTGCCCCGAGCTGTGTGTCCCACAGGTTGCCCCGAGTTGTGTGTCCCACTGGTTGCCCCGAGCTGTGTGTCCCACAGGTTGCCCCGAGCTGTGTGTCCCACAGGTTGCCCCGAGCTGTGTGTCCCACAGGTTGCCCCGAGCTGTGTGTCCCACTGGTTGCCCCGAGCTGTGTGTCCCACTGGTTGCCCCGAGCTGTGTGTCCCACAGGTTGCCCCGAGTTGTGTGTCCCACTGGTTGCCCCGAGTTGTGTGTCCACTGGTTGCCCCGAGCTGTGTCTCTCCGACATACAGCCTGTAAATAATCTACTCTGACAAACCAGTGATCGAAAACATGAGCAACAATCGAGTTACCATGACACGCAATCAGCCACAACACATCTATTGTCAGGCTTGTCAGGGAATATAGTCCATTGAAGTGTTCGTGTGACAGGACCTGTTGAGGATGGCATGAGGTATGTAAGCTGAGTCTTGTACTTACAGCACGGCCAGGGGATTTCGGGAATCCATCATGGACGAACGCGAGAACGGCAACAGCTGCAGCAACAAAGTGTTCGCCAGCTGGGACTACTCCCTCAGTGACGCCAAGACGGCCAAGATCAAGCACAACAGTATCCACTATGATATAGTCGTGAGTTGACCACTTGCATTGTCCAGCATAAAACAATACGCAATGACCAGTTAAATGTAATACAATAGTCCGGTGCTCAATGGCAATAACGTCCGACGAGTAACCTCGGTCTACCCCCATGACCTAATGTCCTAGAGTGACCTCGCCCTACCCCTATGACCTAATGTCCTAAAGTGACCTCGCCCTAACTTCAATGACCTTATGTCATGGAGTGATATTGCACTAACTCCCCCCGTCTAAATGTCCTAGAGTGACCTCGCCCTGTCCCCATGACCTTATGTCCTAGAGTGACCTCGCCCTACCCCCATGACCTAATGTCCTAAAGTGACCTCGTCCTAACTTCAATGACCTTATATCATGGAGTGACATCGCACTAACTCCCCCGTCTAAATGTCCTAGAGTGATCTCGCCGAGGAGCGGTTTGACAGGGAGCGGGGCGAGAAATTGAAGGATGGGTGCAAGCGCTTCAAACTGTACTTTGTCAGGTTCCTGGTCAACGGCTTCGTCCTCGCCTGCCTCGCTGCGGGCGGCTACGTCATCTTCTATGTGACCACATGGTCTTCCAGGGTAAGTTCAGGTGACGGAATACAACAGACTGGCCGATCGATAGTTCTCATGGAACACATATACATGTTCTTGACCACTTTAATAATATTTTAAGATAAGTGAATATTCATCCAACATTATTTTGATACATAGATCATTGACATTATATCTGACTTCAGTGTTTAATGACCACTCTCCTTTTATTCAGGGAACGGGTGACTTAGATATCTGAAGATATCAATTCGCTGTTCAGAGTTGCGTACCTTAGCTTTACCATGATCCTCGTATACGAGTGTTCTCATACCAGGTCCTTTCCAAAAATAATCATAAGTTTGTCAGCATCATACCGTATTCGTTGATATCTCAAAAGTTGTAAGCAACCTGCACCCTGCTTTCCCCAACATCAAGCAAGACATACCGCTGAAATACTCTTCCAATCGGCGTTAAACCCAACTCATTCACGCACCGTTCTTTAAAATGCCGTAAGTCAAGGTCATCGTTGTATATAACGTCTCCCCCTTCAGTATGTGGCGTCCAACAGCTCAGCCACGGGAACGTCCGCCTACATCCTCCTGGTGGTACAATACATGCCCTCCATCATGATCACCGTCCTCAACGCCGCAATTCCCATCGTCTTCAACATCATCGTCAAAGCTGAACAGTACACCCAGGACTTCGTTGTCAAGATCACCCTTATCAGGTACCGAAATTACTGGTTTGGCGGAACATATGTTGAATGTTGGACATAGCATCTGAAGATGAAGATGACCCATCTAAGACAATATCTTGTAGTCAATCCAGTTTGATAAGAATCTACATCGAAACTTCGCTTAATAAAACCAGAAGTTGTTATCCATAAAGTTGTGTGTTTTCTTATGTGTTAATGTGTTAATGTGTCTTCCCAGGACTGTGTTCCTGCGCCTTGCCTCACTCGCAGTGCTGGTCGTGTCCTTGTATACTGACATCATCTGTGACCCAAGGGACTCGTGCCTAACCAACCAGGCGCCATGTACCGTCATCAAGGTAAGGAACAAGAAGGATTGTCTCCTAGAACCGCCAACCTGGTGCTGGAGGTAGTTGCTTTACTTCCTTCTTAGGCTGCTGTTAAAGTTGACTTTGTGACGTGTGTGACATCCATATATGACTGAGTTCTGTGTACAGTTCTAACTTGTTCCGTTTAATGTCCATAGCATTCTGTGTGTAATGTGGAATGTTCTGTGTGTAATGTGGAACTGTTCTGTGTGTAATGTAGACTGTTCTGTGTGGTATGTGGATTGTTCTGTGTGTTATGTGGAATGTTCTGTGTGTTACGTGGAATGTTCTATGTGTAATATGGAATGTTTTGTGCATAGTGTGTCACTGTTCTGTGTGTTATGTGGATTGTTCTGTGTGTTATGTGGAATGTCCTGTGTGTAATGTGTAATGTTCTATGTGTAATATGGAATGTTTTGTGCATAGTGTGTCACTGTTCTGTGTTTTATGTGGAATATTTCTCTTTAATGTGGAATATTCTGTGTGTAGTGTGGAATGTTCTGTGTGTAATGTGGAATGTCCTGTGTCTAATGTGGAATGGACTGTGTGTAATGCGGAATGTTCTCTGTTTAATGTGGAATGTTCTGTGTGTAGTGTGGAATGTTCTGTGTGTAATGTGGAATGTCCTGTGTGTAATGTGGAATGGTCTGTGTGTAATGTGGAATGTCCTGTGTGTAATGTGTTACTGTTCTGTGTGTAATGTGGAATGTTCTCTGATTAATGTGGAATGTTCTGTGTGTAGTGTGGAATGTTCTGTGTGTAAATTTTGAATGTCCTGTGTGTAATGTGGAATGGTCTGTGTGTAATGTGGAATGGTCTGTGTGTAATGTCTAATGTTCTCTGTGTAATGTAGAATGTTCTCTGTTTAATGTGGAATGTTCTGTGTGTAGTGTGGAATGTTCTGTGTTTAATGTGGAATGTTCTGTGTGGAATGTCGAATGTTCTGTGTGGAATGTGGAATGTTCTATGTGGAATGTTCTGTGTGTAATGTGGAATGTTCTGTGTGTAATGTGTCACTGTTCTGTGTGTAATGTGTTACTGTTCTGTGTGTAATGTAGAATGTTCTGTGTGTAATGTAGAATGCTCTGTGTGTAATGTGGAATGTTATGTGTGTAACGTGGAATGTCCTGTGTGTTATGTGGAATGTACTGTGTGTAATGTGTTACTGTTCTGTGTGTAATGTGTTACTGTTCTGTGTGAAATGTTGAATGTTCTGTGTGTAATGTTGAATGTTCTGTGTGTAATGTGGAATGTTTGTGTGTAATGTGTCACTGTTCTGTGTGTAATGTGTTACTGTTCTGTGTGTAATGTATAATGTTCTGTGTATAATGTAGAATGCTCTGTGTGTAATGTAGAATGTTATGTGTGTAACGTGGAATGTCCTGTGTGTTATGTGGAATGTTCTGTGTGTAATGTGTTACTGTTCTGTGTGTAATGTTGAATGTTCTGTGTGTAATGTTGAATGTTCTGTGTGTTATGTGGAATGTTCTGTGTGTAATGTGTCACTGTTCTGTGTGTAATGTGTAACTGTTCTGTGTGTAATGTAGAATGTTCTGTGTGTAATGTAGAATGCTATGTGTGTAATGTGGAATGTTCTGTGTGTAATGTGGAATGTCCTGTGTGTTATGTGGAATGTCCTGTGTGTAATGTAGAATGTTCTGTGTGTAATGTGTCACTGTTCTGTGTGTAATGTGTTACTGTTATGTGTGTCATGTAGAATGTTATGTTTGTAATGTAGAATGCTCTGTGTGTAATGTAGAATGTTCTGTGTGTAATGTAGAATGTCCTGTGTGTAATGAAGAATGCTCTGTGTGTAATGTAGAATGTTCTGTGTGTAATGTGTCTCTGTTCTGTGTGTAATGTGATACTGTTCTGTGTGTAATGTAGAATGTTCTGTGTGTAATGTGTAATGTGTAATGTTCTGTGTGTAATGTGTCACTGTTCTGTGTGTTATGTGGAATGTCCTGTGTGTCATGTAGAATGTTCTGGGCGTTATGTAGAATGTTCTGTGTGTAATGTAGAATGTTCTGTGTGTAATGTAGAATGTCCTGTGTGTCATGTTGAATGTTCTGCTGACAGTGCTGGGAGACGTACGTGGGACAACAGATGTACAAGTTGGTCATCCTGAACTTCCTGGTAACCGTCATCAAGGTGTTCCTGGTAGAGCTCCCGAGAAAGTAAGTCAACCTTCCAACGCATCATGTCAAACCAACCTGTCAAACACTCAAACTCAATGACAAACCAGTTGTTTCCTTGTCCATTTGTTATCGGACCATTCATCTGATGTTGGCCGCATCTTGCAACTAACGCCAACATAACTGTGTTGACAGGCTGGTGGTCCACAGGTGCAGGGCCAAGTTGTTCCAGATCATCGGCCCCCCGGAGTTCCAGATCGCACAGAACGTCCTTGACCTAATCTACACCCAGACTGTATGTTGGTAAGCAAATATATAATGTCTGAATTGAGTGCTTGTGAACATGCATTCACAAAGACAAAACTGTAAGTAACTTAGAAATGTAGAACAGAAAAATAATGATCTGATGAGAAATCTGACAAATCATAACTAAGGAAGAGAACATAAACATTATTGGAAAAAAGATTCATTTAAAATTTTACAAAATTAAAAGTCGTTATTTAGCCAATTCTTCAGTGCAGCGTAACACAAGTACACTTGAAGCATTCAAAGAAAATGGGAGGGTTTTTATTTAGTTAATCATTCATCCCACTATCATGGAAAGATAGAGGATATTGCATGTGTGGAGTGAAATATCCTGTTTCTCTCATCGAGTGACGGGGGAAGAGGAGATATTTTCACGAGTGGCGTAGCAGTTGAGTATATGTGTTGTCCGCACTTGGCAGTGATCGTGTAGACAGTGAATACTTAAAATTTAGTTGTAATGAACAAGAACACCCCCCCCCCCCCCCCCCCCCCCCCCCCTTTTCTATGAATTATTACGTGTAATTGGGTTACAGTGCTGAGTATAGAATAAATAACGATTTTAATAAACAATGTTTAAAAATGCAAATGAAAATTCTTTTTAATAATGTGTATATTGTTTAACTATGGAACTCGTGGACACATCAGTAACCAATACTCTTTACCCTCATTGTAACAACATTCTTCACGCTGTAAACTTGTGTCTTGTCAGTCAGTCCTCCATGGCAAACCACCTCTCTTCCAGGTTGGGATTCTTCTTCGCTCCCCTGATACCGGCCATGATAGTGATACATCTGTTTGTGTTGTTCTATGCCAAGCTTGTGAGTATGAAGCCAAGACTCGAAATACCCGTGTAAATATTGGTTTACCTACAGCACTAATGGCCCAGTGAGATGTTAAAGCACGCCCTCGATACGATATTGGAGTGTGTAAATACTTTATCAACAATACAGAGATAGCTGGAAAGTCACTTTACCATCATGTTGTTCCGTCAGGTTTTGAAAGGGGCAGTTATGTTCCCAAGTCAATGATTACTGCTGCGAAATAGCCAGCCAGACAGTTTTGTGTATTTAATAATAAATAATTATACAGTAAACTTCGGTTATAACGAACTCAAAGGGACCACTAATTTTAGTTCGTTATAACCGTAGATCGTTATAAGCATATATACAGCATATACCTGTATACAGTAAATTACTGGGACTAAACATAAGTTCGTCATATCTATCAGTTCGTTATAAGCATGTTCGTTATAAACGTAGTTTACTGCATTTAGTAATAGATAGATAGAGAGTGACTTTGCTGTCATGTTTGTCCGTCAGGTTTTGAAAGTGGCAGTTATGCCTTCAAGCCACTGATCACTGCTGCAAAATAGCATGCCAGACTGTCGGTTCTATTTATTATTTTGATACGTGAGTGACACCCCTCTTCATCCTCCTGTGTTGCAGTTGTCGGCCCTGGTGGCGTGCGAGCCGTCCAAGAGGCCGTACCGGGCGTCTCGCTCCAACTCCTTCTTCATGATGGTGCTGCTCCTGGCCTTCTTCCTCTGCTGTGTTCCCGTGGGCTACACCATGGCCGCGTGGGTATTCCGCTGACATTGTAGTGAGTGAGTGAGTGAGTTGGAGTTCACGCCGCTTTGCACAGTATTCCAGTCGTATCACGGCGTATCAGCTTAATGTGGAAGGAAAGCCCGAATTGATGAACGTCTCAGACGTTTACCACTTTGGTGAAACCCACGGGCACGGGTATGGTGCTGACAAATCTTGAAACTTAATCGGGTCGTACCGGAATTCGAACCCACGATTATAGGTTTCTGGCGTGTCAAAGGGACACAATTCTGCACAACGAATTGCGGCGCCTTAGACGACTAGGCCATCTCATTCAGGTGTAATGGAATTATCACATGAACCTATAGTTAAATAAAGCTGTGTATGGAGTTCATGATTAGAGGACATGGGCTACGGGGTAGTGTAATATCCTCCTTGAAGATATGAATATTAGTTATTAGTTTTAAAGAAAATTGCAAATGTCATATTATGCTAATTTAGTTGTACTGTTATCTTCGTTTAAATGAAGACTGAAGATATGCGGCTAAAGGATGACATAATTCTTTACTTGACATAATAAATGTAAATTGGTCAGTGAGTAACATTAGTGGGAATATCGGGTTCATATGAAATATGTTTTCCTCCAGCTTGCCTCCCTCCAAGGGGTGTGGTCCGTTCCGCATCTACAGCATGATGTACAGTGTCATTCAGTACACAGTAGCTGCATGGCCCGACATCGCCGAGACCATCTACAACGTTGCAACATCTGCTGCCGTCACGGCTTCAATCATTATACTATTGTGGTAAGGCAATTTGTTGAAGCATACAATCTCTCTTGTTTTAGGCCAATGTGTGTATGTTGTTTAATGTCGACGAGCCAGATCACTGAGCGGCCTCCGTGGTGTTGTGGATTGGGCGTCTGTTAGATACCAGGTACTGGTGGTTCGATCCCCCGGCCTCGTCATACCAAAAGACGTTAAAAAGTTTGTATTTTTTTACCCTGCCTGGTGCTCGGCATTAAGGGAATAAATCTGCTCAGAGTCAGTATACTGTGTCTGAGTGGTGTTTCCTTGGAATAGGCCGGAATAGTACAAGCAGCCACACAAACACGTGAATGCACGTCGCTATGTTAGTGCAATGATCTTGGGCACAACGCTGAACCTCATTTTACTTCACCACAGCAACCAGTGTAAAAACACAGTGCATGAAATAAGTTATGACGGTCCACCTCGTCGATAGGACACAAAGACCGCAATCTGTCAGGTCAAACACCCGGTACTTATGTTCAACCATAATTTCGGTGGGTTTTAGGCCAAATATTTGATTGAAGCACATTATTACTATTCCCATACCTGTGTGTATAATATTATAATGCTGTTGTTCCCGTTTCAGCCTGTTGGTGTATTACTGTTCAGCATTGAAGGGAGCCCACATCGAGAAGACCAAGACACTGATGCATCAACTTAAAGTTGTAAGTTCCTCGGGAAAATAACACATCCCCGATTTCTTGAATGACTTAAAGCCACATCCCTGAGCAGTGATGACTCAGCATAATAACACCCCCACCCCCCACCCAACCCCTAATACCACTGCCGGGCCAATATACATGACCATTGGTTGCCAAACGTGAGCTTTGTTTACCATTCCACGATTCCACGGCAGAAAAGCTGTGAAAGACCAGGTTCCCACTTAATGTACCAAAAGTAAGTGATAAATAAATAATTGGTTATGATTGCTTAATTGTCTTGTGACAGTGGCACCAGGTTGCCCTAAAACAACACAGATTCAAGGCTTCAAATAACCATGTTCTACTATATTCCATTAAAATAACCAAATGTGTCGTCCATGTATTCCGCTTAAATAACCACATGTGTCTTTCGTGTATTCCACTAAAATAACCACACGTGTCATCATTGTAATTCATTAAAATAACCACGTGTGTCATCCACGTATTCCACTAAAATAACCACGTGTCATCCATGTATTCCACTAAAATAATCACATGTGTCATCCATGTATTCCACTAAAATAACCACGTATCATCCAAGTATTCCATTAAAATAACCACGTGTCATCCATGTATTCCACTAAAATAATCACATGTGTCATCCATGTATTCCACTTAAATAACCACGTGTCATCCACGCATTCCACTAAAATAACCACATGTGTCATCCATGTATTTCACTAAATAACCACGTGTGTCATCCATGTATTTCACTAAATAACCACATGTGTCATCCATGTATTTCACTAAATAACCACATGTGTCATCCATGTATTTCACTAAATAACCACGTGTGTCATCCATGTATTTCACTAAATAACCACGTGTGTCATCCATGTATTTCACTAAATAACCACGTGTGTCATCCATGTATTTCACTAAATAACCACATGTGTCATCCATGTATTTCACTAAATAACCACATGTGTCATCCATGTATTTCACTAAATAACCACGTGTGTCATCCATGTATTTCACTAAATAACCACGTGTGTCATCCATGTATTTCACTAAATAACCACATGTGTCATCCATGTATTTCACTAAATAACCACGTGTGTCATCCATGTATTTCACTAAATAACCACATGTGTCATCCATGTATTTCACTAAATAACCACATGTGTCATCCATGTATTTCACTAAATAACCACGTGTGTCATCCATGTATTTCACTAAATAACCACGTGTGTCATCCATGTATTTCACTAAATAACCACATGTGTCATCCATGTATTTCACTAAATAACCACATGTGTCATCCATGTATTTCACTAAATAACCACGTGTGTCATCCATGTATTTCACTAAATAACCACGTGTGTCATCCATGTATTTCACTAAATAACCACGTGTGTCATCCATGTATTTCACTAAATAACCACATGTGTCATCCATGTATTCCGCTAAATAACCACATGTGTCATCCATGTATTTCACTAAATAACCACGTGTGTCATCCATGTATTTCACTAAATAACCACATGTGTCATCCATGTATTTCACTAAATAACCACATGTGTCATCCATGTATTTCACTAAATAACCACGTGTGTCATCCATGTATTTCACTAAATAACCACATGTGTCATCCATGTATTTCACTAAATAACCACGTGTGTCATCCATGTATTTCACTAAATAACCACATGTGTCATCCATGTATTTCACTAAATAACCACATGTGTCATCCATGTATTTCACTAAATAACCACATGTGTCATCCATGTATTTCACTAAATAACCACATGTGTCATCCATGTATTTCACTAAATAACCACATGTGTCATCCATGTATTTCACTAAATAACCACGTGTGTCATCCATGTATTTCACTAAATAACCACGTGTGTCATCCATGTATTTCACTAAATAACCACATGTGTCATCCATGTATTTCACTAAATAACCACATGTGTCATCCATGTATTTCACTAAATAACCACGTGTGTCATCCATGTATTTCACTAAATAACCACATGTGTCATCCATGTATTTCACTAAATAACCACATGTGTCATCCATGTATTTCACTAAATAACCACATGTGTCATCCATGTATTTCACTAAATAACCACGTGTGTCATCCATGTATTTCACTAAATAACCACATGTGTCATCCATGTATTTCACTAAATAACCACATGTGTCATCCATGTATTTCACTAAATAACCACGTGTGTCATCCATGTATTTCACTAAATAACCACATGTGTCATCCATGTATTTCACTAAATAACCACGTGTGTCATCCATGTATTTCACTAAATAACCACGTGTGTCATCCATGTATTTCACTAAATAACCACATGTGTCATCCATGTATTTCACTAAATAACCACATGTGTCATCCATGTATTTCACTAAATAACCACATGTGTCATCCATGTATTTCACTAAATAACCACATGTGTCATCCATGTATTTCACTAAATAACCATGTGTGTCATCCATGTATTTCACTAAATAACCACGTGTGTCATCCATGTATTTCACTAAATAACCACATGTGTCATCCATGTATTTCACTAAATAACCACATGTGTCATCCATGTATTTCACTAAATAACCACGTGTGTCATCCATGTATTTCACTAAATAACCACGTGTGTCATCCATGTATTTCACTAAATAACCACGTGTGTCATCCATGTATTTCACTAAATAACCACATGTGTCATCCATGTATTCCGCTAAATAACCACATGTGTCATCCATGTATTTCACTAAATAACCACGTGTGTCATCCATGTATTTCACTAAATAACCACGTGTGTCATCCATGTATTTCACTAAATAACCACATGTGTCATCCATGTATTTCACTAAATAACCACGTGTGTCATCCATGTATTTCACTAAATAACCACGTGTGTCATCCATGTATTTCACTAAATAACCACATGTGTCATCCATGTATTTCACTAAATAACCACGTGTGTCATCCATGTATTTCACTAAATAACCACATGTGTCATCCATGTATTCCGCTAAATAACCACATGTGTCATCCATGTATTTCACTAAATAACCACGTGTGTCATCCATGTATTTCACTAAATAACCACGTGTGTCATCCATGTATTCCGCTAAATAACCACGTGTGTCATCCACGCATTCCACTAAAATAACCACATGTGTCATCCATGTATTTCACTAAATAACCACGTGTGTCATCCATGTATTTCACTAAATAACCACATGTGTCATCCATGTATTTCACTAAATAACCACGTGTGTCATCCATGTATTTCACTAAATAACCACGTGTGTCATCCACGCATTCCACTAAAATAACCACATGTGTCATCCATGTATTTCACTAAATAACCACATGTGTCATCCATGTATTTCACTAAATAACCACGTGTGTCATCCATGTATTTCACTAAATAACCACGTGTGTCATCCATGTATTCCGCTAAATAACCACGTGTGTCATCCACGCATTCCACTAAAATAACCACATGTGTCATCCATGTGTTTCACTAAATAACCACGTGTGTCATCCATGTATTTCACTAAATAACCACGTGTGTCATCCATGTATTTCACTAAATAACCACGTGTGTCATCCATGTATTCCGCTAAATAACCACATGTGTCATCCATGTATTTCACTAAATAACCACGTGTGTCATCCATGTATTCCGCTAAATAACCACATGTGTCATCCATGTATTCCGCTAAATAACCACGTGTGTCATCCATGTATTTCACTAAATAACCACATGTGTCATCCATGTATTTCACTAAATAACCACGTGTGTCATCCATGTATTTCACTAAATAACCACGTGTGTCATCCATGTATTTCACTAAATAACCACGTGTGTCATCCATGTATTCCGCTAAATAACCACGTGTGTCATCCATGTATTCCACTAAAATAACCACGAGTCATTCAGTTAATTTTCATATTAATAGTAGTAAGTTATTTTGGACTATATTGTTCATACACTGTCTGTAATTTATATAGTTAGAAATCTGTAACCCCAATGAATTATTAACTAATGCTATCATTAGGGCCATGTCAGAGAAGGAGGCTGTCCCTCGTACCAGCATGATATATCTGCATTATCTAACCCCAACCCGTCAGTACAACATGCATTGCCGTCATATAGCTGGATTATTGCTGAGTGTGGCGCAAAACAACAAACAGTACAACGTGCAAATCCTAAGCATTGGTGTTAAAGCTTATTGCAGAACCTGAAAACGATCGATTTCTGATTGAAGTCAAAACAAAATGCCAATCTGTCTTACAAAATGCAAACCCTGATTTTGGGTATTGAAGAGTATTGTTGAGCCTAATACCTATGGATTTCTTATTGAAGACTAACAGCTGTGAAATGAACATCGAGCCATGGCTTGTTATGTCCTTCACTGGTACAGCTCAATACGATTTCAACACAGACTGATGCGACACCTGCCGGGGTGCAGGTGGTGTGAGAAGCATGTTATAGTTCACGTTGACACACCGTAATCGGGACGTCGATGTAAATATCAATATACAATATACGCATAACTGTAACAGCTTTAACATACTTAATTCATTTTACAGCAATCAGTCAACTTTTGTACTCGAACCTTTACGGGGAAATCAATACGATAGTGGCAACCGAAGGGGTGGGGTGTAGTTGAATATACGTGCCTGTGACAAGCCCGTGGTACCAAGATTCTCTTGTGATTGCCAGCGTGTGGGTGGGGGTTGGATTTCTGAAGTTGGGTTTAGTGGGGTTATAGTTTTCTAGCACATACATATGTTGTATCTGTAATGTCATATCAGAAGCTGCAGGATCAATCATGATGATGGTTGACGTATGAAATTCAATTTGTTTATTCATTCAAAGCGACACATGGTTCAGATGGTCGAACATTTTTTTAATCAGAAAAGGTACTAGCTCATTTACCGTCGCGCTATAAGAATAAACAAGGTGTAGTCGCTTTCTCTCTTCCCAGCCCATCCTCTAAATGATATAATTATATGTTTAATAAGTAGAATTTTGGAGTTGAGTACCTGTGAAGACATGATTGAATCATTTCAAAAAAGAAAGCTGACTTCCACTATGTTTGGGTTTAATATAGTGAGGGTCAAACTGTCTGAACGCCGGAGCTTGCAAACTCACATAAAGAGAAAGTCAATTCTTTTTTCATGTCACCAGCTGGCATCTCTTTGGATATTTCATAATGTCTATTTCTTTACATGTAGGCTAAAAATTGTGAACGTGGACTGTCGAAACACGACCAACTCTATCGCTGACAAAAATAGTGCCTCATTATGACAATGCCCTTCAGTAATATCATAACATCAAGTGTAGATTAGGTACACCAACATTAGATTATAATGTCTGTTTAGAACCATCTCAGTGTGTCAGTCACATTGTCAGCGCGACGTTACACATTGAGCTTACGAACGTCAGCACGTTTATCAATTCCACCACAGTCCAAAAATGACAACACGGTCACAAACATCTTTTCCACATCAAATATATTCGCTCTATTATTACCGACAAATCTTTTAAAAATTATACAATTATGCAACATATCAAACTGTGAATCAGTAGTTTGTTAAATCGTTACACATTAAATATATACATTGAACCAGTATAGAACCTGGCAAATCCGCTCGCAGGGTTCAAGCAAAACTCGGCATAGAACTGGTCATGTGACGAAACCGTCTTTCCCCCCGTCCGTGATCCAACTCCTGTTGACTTATACCCTCCGCCTGTTGTGGTTATCGATAGCCATGAAGACAACATTTTGTACGAAAACAAAATCACATTTGAGATCTGACAAGGATGAGTTGCAAAACATGGGCATCTTTTTTTGTCATTACCAGATGACATATCTTAGTTCTTGCATTAGACCGGTTAAGATCCGGGTTAGAATAGGTCTTCCGGGCTAGAATAGGTCTTCAGCAACCCATGCTTGCGGTAAGAGGCGTCTAACGGGATCGGGTGTACAGACTTGCTGACTTGTTTGATGCATGTCATCGTATCCCAATTGCGTGGATCGATGCTCATGATGGCAATAACTGGATTGTCTGGTCCAGACTCGATTATTTACAGACCGCCGTCATATAGCTAGAATATTGCTGAGCACGGCGTTAAACAACAAACAAACGAAGTTCTCGCATTAATACATCTTGCATTTAGCTTCACCCTATAGAAATGCTTACTGTAGTACATATATAGATAAGAATTCCTATCACAACACTAAGTGACGTGTTTTATCTGTCTAGGAGGGACAAGACAAGCGGTTCCTGCTTGCCAGGCTACAGGAGGTGGCGGGCGAGACCACACCCATTCTGAAGGGTCGCAGGACACCCCGTGGGGTCAGCCAGAGACCTGATTCCGGCAGCAAGAGGAAGCCCCGCACGAGGGACAGCCAGCGTTCGGACACCCGCCTGAACATACCACCCGAACAAAGCAATGGCAAATCTCCGCACCCTAACCAGCCAGCTGACGACGATTGGTGATCTGCATGTGACCATCATGCGTCAACTGTCTGAATTTTTCCGCGCACCCTGTGATAAAGTGTTAACGTTATTTTCATATTCACTGTGCCAATATATGAAAATTGTTATGTACATATTGACATTTAAATCTGCCTCTTATTTGGCCGCTGCAACGTTGCCATGATGGTTCCATCTGACCACGTGTTGACTTCTCCTACCAGCAGCTGTAATGAGGAACACAAGAGTGGCCTTGCTTTGACCTCGGTGTCACAGTCCCCACTCGTTACACCCACAACGAATATACTGTTGTTTTTGTTCATGACCAGACAAATGTTCCGAACCACAGCCATGATTAGTTGACGAACTTGTTGTTTACTCACTCTGAAACATGAAACCATTAAACTTGGAACGATAACACGAAACAATAAACATAAAACAGTAAACATAACACATTAACGAATAAACATAAAACATGGAACAATAAACATGGAACAATAACATGAAACACTAAACATGAAACAGTAAACATAACACATTAACGAAAAAACATAAAATATGGAACAATAAACATGGAACAATAACATGAAACACTAAACATGACACAGTAAACATAACACATTAACGAACAAACATAAAACATGGAACAATAAACATGGAACAATAACATGAAACAATAAACATGACACAGTAAACATAACACATTAACGAAAAAACATAAAACATGGAACAATAAACATGGAACAATAACATGAAACAATAAACATGAAACAGTAAACATAACACATAACGAAAAAACATAAAACATTGAACAATAAACATGAAACAGTAAACATAACACATTAACGAAAAAACATAAAACATGGAACAATAACATGAAACAATAAACATGAAACAGTAAACATAACACATAACGAAACAACATAAGCATGGAACAATAAACATGGAACAATAACATGAAACAATAAACATGAAACAGTAAACATAACACATTAACGAATAAACATAAAGCATGGAACAATAAACATGAAACAATAAACATGAAACAATAAACAATAAACCATGGAACATGAAACATAAACGAAAAAACATAAAACATGGAACATAAAACATAAACGAAGAAACATTAAACATGGAACAATAAACATGAAACAGTATACATGAAACATGGAACGATAACATTAGTCATGAAAAATAGACGTGAAACATGATACATTAAAGTGCAAAGGAGTAAACTAAACGCATGCTGCATTTGTCAGTGTGTCCCAAGGACAGAGGGAGAAGGGATTCATATCTCCATAGTTATTTCAAATAATGTTTTACTCGTCTTTTGTTGTGAACATACACGGTTATTGCTATCTTGACGTGATCAATCTGTGATCATTTACCTGTCTAGTTGATATGTTACCTGGTCAATCTGTCACCTGGTCATTCTGTGATCTGATCATCTCTTATCTGTCTAGTTGATTTGTTACCTGGTCAATCTGTGATCTGATCATCTCTTACCTGTCTAGTTGAATTGTTACCTGGACAATCTGTGATCTGATCATCTCTTACCTGTCTAGTTGATATGTTGCCTCCTCAATCTGTTACTTGGCCAATCTGTTATCTAATCAGTCTTTCACCTGTCTAGTTAATATGTTGCCTCGCCAATCTGTTACTTGGTCAATCTGTTACCTGGTCAATCTGTTATCTGATCAGTTTTCACCTGTCTAGTTGATATGTTGCCTCCACAATCTGTTATCTCATCATTCTCTTACATGTCTGTTTAATCTGTTACCTGGTGACTGTGTAACCCGGTCATTGTGTTACCTGATGGTCAATCTGTAACCTGCCATCCAGTATTAAGACTAACTGTAATGTGATAAGCCTGTACCTTATGTATACTCTGTGTTTGGAACGATGAGTATCCGTCCTGTGTACAGATTCAGTGTCCATGTGATGTGTAACAAACCCCATGTCGTCTATCCGACGGTACCACGTGGATGTGGCCACACTTTTCTTGTGATAACAAATAATTTCCCCATGCAGTATGTTTCCAATCTGCATAATAAAATCTATAATGATAATATTTGCACAATTCTTACTTCGTAAAGATACATGAATATTATGCTATATTTTTGCATATATGTAATAGGTATGTATTTAAACTGTATATACATCAAGTGTAAACAATGAACAGTATTTTTCTTATGCGGGGTCGCTCTGAACCACAGCGGAGGCAACCCCTAGCCAGGATAGCTTTAATACACAGGCTACCTTCATCTGGCTTCACCTCCTGTCTCTGCAACAGCCTCATTTCGAACTACTTTTGACGAGACGCTTTCCTAGTGTTCCGTTCTCAGTGAGATGCTATGTACAGCTGACAGATGCTATGTACAGGTCTCCGCACGGATGTGGATTCCATTGCTGCGAAAACGTCCAAATCTCCCAGATCTCGTCACTGGTCACGAATCTTGCACCTTTAGTTCGAGTGAAGTGCCTTTCAATGTACACGACTAACCATTGACACATGGATATGGGGTGCACCTTATCTGGAGCTGAGATCTAGTGTTGTTCCACGTGGTTCTTTCATGTGGCCAAGATTTGTTTTTTGTTGAATATTCTGTCTATTTCTGAATAAATCTACCGTGAATGTGTGTTTTTAGTTTGTATGCTACCCATGAAGATGCGGTTTTAAATTATCTTCAGCAAGCCATGGTTGCTGTAAGTGGGTACAAACATGATCGAGTGGTCAGGTGTGTCATCGTATCCCATTTGCGTAGATCGATGCTCAGGATGACAATCACTGGATTGTCTGGTCCAGACTCGATTATTTACAGACCGTCGTCATGTAAAACTTGTGCTGAGTACGGCGTTAAACGGTGGGATACATCGGCGGCTACTCGTCACGTTTGGGCGTCAACCGGGCTACCTCTACACAGTAATCAGAACCTAGGTGTGAAAACATGGTCCATCCGAAGCTGTGGCGGACCTCCTGTAACGTCACAGCGTAAAGGTTGGGCACCGCTTCGATTCGTATGATGACAGCCATTTGCAATGAGTCCTGTCCTCAAGTGACAACCGAATCGACGTCTGTCCACCAGGGACCCGTTCCACAAAGCGAAGTGATCGTAACTCCCATTCTTTAACATGGCTTACGATAGTAGTAGCGCTAAGAACGTGGAACGAGGCCTAGAACCTTACCTTGAGGAACCGCTTGAGAGCAGCAGGAATAGCGTCCAGGAGTGTTATGAAACTCACCCTACTGATACAGCAACAACAGAGGTTCCGTTTGGCATGGTGTTAAGCACTACAACCTTGGCATCTGAGAACTGGTTCGGATGAAAGTAGGTTCCTGTTCCATGTGATAGGGGGGGGGGGGGGGGGGGGGGGGGGGTCATTCGGGCACGTGGAGAGTTTACTTCTGAATCTTTGAGCTACGGGCGTCGTCATGTAGGGACTAGAAAGGGATATGTAAACATCATTAGTAAATTCATTCAAATTACACAATATACATACTTTTTTCTCTCACATTTTGCCGGCGATACCTGTATATTTGTAATTACCAGTTCTCTAAAGTGATAAGTATGGCCTACTGTAAGTGTTTTCTTAGTACGTAGTGTTGACACAATAGAATAGCCAAACATACGGGTGTGGAGTTATAGAACTTAACCAACAGCACAGGAGTAATGTAGATGTCCTCGTGCTTGATTGTTCATCTGTGTTGAGAACAGGATTATATATTCCAACGAATGTCTCAATATATTGACGTGTAGCTTTACGGTGCTAATTCTAATTTTGTTCATGATACAGGGGGTCGTTCGGGCAGCAAGTTCATTCAAGCCAGACAACAGTCAAGGCTGACAATTCGGGTGGCTTATTACGATTATGCACGCATACCGTATGAAAGATTTTATTGTTGCACATATTGCCTCTACGTATCGACTGACTTAAACTGGCCCGGTTGTAACTAGATCTATATTTGTGGTATTTTGTAGTATTTGACGTCAGCGGTTATACCTGGTGGCAGCCGACGTCAGCGGTTATACCTGGTGCGTCCGACGTCAGCTGTTATACCTGGTGGCAGCCGACGTCAGCGGTTATACCTGGTGGTGGACGACGTCAGTAGTTATACCTAGTGGTTGACGACGTCAGCGGTTATACCTGGTGGTGGGCGACGTCAGTAGTTATACTTGGTGGCAGCCGACGTCAGCGGTTATACCTGGTGGCAGGCAACGTCAGTGGTAATACCCGGTGGTGGACGACGTCAGTAGTTATACCTGGTGACAGCCGACGTCAGCGGTTATACCTGGTGGCAGGCAACGTCAGTGGTAATACCTGGTGGTGGACGACGTCTGTAGTCAGTGGTTATACCTGGTGATGGGCGACGTCAGTGGTAATACCTGGTGGTGGACGACGTCTGTAGTCAGTGGTTATACCTGGTGATGGGCGACGTCAGTGGTAATACCTGGTGGTGGACGACGTCAGTAGTTATACCTGGTGACAGCCGACGTCAGCGGTTATACCTGGTGGCAGGCAACGTCAGTGGTAATACCTGGTGGTGGACGACGTCTGTAGTCAGCGGTTATACCTGGTGATGGGCGACGTCAGTGGTAATACCTGGTGGTGGACGACGTCAGTAGTTATACCTGGTGACAGCCGACGTCAGCGGTTATACCTGGTGGCAGGCAACGTCAGTGGTAATACCTGGTGGTGGACGACGTCTGTAGTCAGTGGTTATACCTGGTGATGGGCGACGTCACTGGTTATACCTGGTGGTGGGCGACGTCTGTAGTTATACCTGGTGATGGGCGACGTCACTGATTATACCTGGTGATGGGCGACGTCACTGATTATACCTGGTCGTGGGCGACGTTAGTGGTTGTAACTGGTGTTGGGCGACGTCTGTAGTCAGTGGTTATGCCTGGTGGTGGACAACGTCTATAGCCAGTGATTGTAACTGGTCTTGGGCGACGTCTGTAGCCAGTGGTTATGCCTAGTGGTGGGTGACGTCTGTAGCCCGTGGTTGTAACTGGTTGTGGGCGACGTCTGTAGCCAGTGGTTGTAACTGGTTGTGGGCGACGTCTGTAGTCAGTGGTTGTAACTGGTGGTGGGCGACGTCTGTAGTCAGTGGTTGTAACTGGTTGTGGGCGACGTCTGTAGCCCGTGGTTGTAACTGGTGGTGATTAACGTTTATAGCCAGTGGTTGTAACTGGTGTTGGGCGACGTCTGTAGCCAGTGGTTGTAACTGGTGGTGATTAACGTTTATAGCCCGTGGTTGTAACTGGTTGTGGGTGACGTCTGTAGTCAGTGGTTGTAACTGGTGGTGGGCGACGTCTGTAGCCCGTGGTTGTAACTGGTGGTGGGCGACGTCTGTAGCCAGTGGTTGTAACTGGTGGTGGGCGACGTCTGTAGCCAGTTGTTGTAACTGGTGGTGGGCGACGTCTGTAGCCAGTGGTTGTAACTGGTGGTGGGCGACGTCTGTAGCCAGTGGTTGTAACTGGTTGTGTGTGACGTCTGTACCTAGTTGTTGTAACTGGTGGTGGGCGACGTCTGTAGCCAGTTGTTGTAACTGGTGGTGGGCGACGTCTGTAGCCAGTGGTTGTAACTGGTTGTGTGTGACGTCTGTACCCAGTGGTTGTAACTGGTGGTGGGCGACGTCTGTAGCCAGTTGTTGTAACTGGTGGTGGGCGACGTCTGTAGCCAGTTGTTGTAACTGGTGGTGGGCGACGTCTGTAGCCAGTTGTTGTAACTGGTGGTGGGCGACGTCTGTACCCAGTGGTTGTAACTGGTGGTGGGCGACGTCTGTAGCCAGTGGTTGTAACTGGTGTTGGGCGACGTCTGTAGCCAGTTGTTGTAACTGGTTGTGTGTGACGTCTGTACCCAGTGGTTGTAACTGGTGGTGGGCGACGTCTGTAGCCAGTTGTTGTAACTGGTGGTGGGCGACGTCTGTAGCCAGTTGTTGTAACTGGTGGTGGGCGACGTCTGTAGCCAGTTGTTGTAACTGGTGGTGGGCGACGTCTGTACCCAGTGGTTGTAACTGGTGGTGGGCGACGTCTGTAGCCAGTGGTTGTAACTGGTGGTGGGCGACGTCTGTAGCCAGTGGTTGTAACTGGTTGTGTGTGACGTCTGTACCCAGTGGTTGTAACTGGTGGTGGGCGACGTCTGTAGCCAGTTGTTGTAACTGGTGGTGGGCGACGTCTGTAGCCAGTGGTTGTAACTGGTTGTGTGTGACGTCTGTACCCAGTTGTTGTAACTGGTGGTGGGCGACGTCTGTAGCCAGTTGTTGTAACTGGTGGTGGGCGACGTCTGTAGCCAGTTGTTGTAACTGGTGGTGGGCGACGTCTGTAGCCAGTTGTTGTAACTGGTGGTGGGCGACGTCTGTAGCCAGTTGTTGTAACTGGTTGTGGGTGACGTCTGTAGCCAGTTGTTGTAACTGGTGGTGGGCGACGTCTTTAGCCAGTGGTTGTAACTGGTGGTGGGCGACGTCTTTAGTCAGTGGTTGTAACTGGTGGTGGGCGACGTCTGTAGCCAGTGGTTGTAACTGGTTGTGGGCGACGTCTGTAGCCAGTGGTTGTAACTGGTTGTGTGTGACGTCTGTAGCCAGTGGTTGTAACTGGTGGTGGGCGACGTCTGTAGCCAGTTGTTGTAACTGGTTGTGGGCGACGTCTGTAGCCAGTGGTTGTAACTGGTTGTGTGTGACGTCTGTACCCAGTGGTTGTAACTGGTGGTGGGCGACGTCTGTAGCCAGTTGTTGTAACTGGTGGTGGGCGACGTCTGTAGCCAGTTGTTGTAACTGGTTGTGGGTGACGTCTGTAGCCAGTTGTTGTAACTGGTGGTGGGCGACGACTTTAGTCAGTTGTTGTAACTGGTGGTGGGCGACGTCTGTAGTCAGTGGTTGTAACTGGTGGTGGGCGACGTCTGTAGCCAGTTGTTGTAACTGGCTGTGGGCGACGTCTGTAGCCAGTGGTTGTAACTGGTTGTGGGCGACGTCTGTACCCAGTGGTTGTAACTGGTGGTGGGCGACGTCTGTAGCCAGTTGTTGTAACTGGTGGTGGGCGACGTCTGTAGCCAGTTGTTGTAACTGGTTGTGGGCGACGTCTGTAGCCAGTGGTTGTAACTGGTTGTGTGTGACGTCTGTACCCAGTGGTTGTAACTGGTGGTGGGCGACGTCTGTAGCCAGTTGTTGTAACTGGTGGTGGGCGACGTCTGTAGCCAGTTGTTGTAACTGGTTGTGGGTGACGTCTGTAGCCAGTGGTTGTAACTGGTGGTGGGCGACGTCTTTAGTCAGTTGTTGTAACTGGTGGTGGGCGACGTCTGTAGTCAGTGGTTGTAACTGGTGGTGGGCGACGTCTGTAGCCAGTTGTTGTAACTGGCTGTGGGCGACGTCTGTAGCCAGTGGTTGTAACTGGTTGTGGGCGACGTCTGTACCCAGTGGTTGTAACTGGTGGTGGGCGACGTCTGTAGCCAGTTGTTGTAACTGGTGGTGGGCGACGTCTGTAGCCAGTTGTTGTAACTGGTGGTGGGCGACGTCTGTACCCAGTGGTTGTAACTGGTGGTGGGCGACGTCTTTAGTCAGTGGTTCTAACTGGTGGTGGGTGACGTCTGTAGCCAGTGGTTGTAACTGGTTGTGTGTGACGTCTGTACCCAGTGGTTGTAATTGGTGGTGGGCGACGCCTTTAGTCAGTTGTCAGGCTTGGTGATTTGATTGATGACGTGTCAACGAACCCCGACTGTGTGGGTCGTTGCTCACGATACCCATCACTGCGTTGTCAATTACACACACACACACACGCACACACACACACGCACGCACACACACACACACACACACACACGCACGCACACACGCACGCACGCACGCACGCACACGCACGCACGCACGCACGCACACACACACACACGCACGCACGCACGCACGCACACACACGCACGCACGCACGCACGCACGCACACACGCACGCACGCACACACACACGCACGCACGCACGCACGCACGCACGCACGCACGCACGCACGCACGCACACACACACACACACACACACACACGCGCGCGCGCGCACACGCACGCACGCACGCACGCACGCACGCACGCACGCACACACGCACACATTGTAGAACCACAACCTACAGATTATGCATGCCGTGTTTGCCATAGTGGTTTTTCATTGCCAGCCACTAATGAATATATACAGAATTAATATATTATCAACTCGCCCGCACTGTAGAAGTCAGCTATGTTGTTTACTTCTTCTCCCACTGATTTCACAACACTGGAGAAAAGAAATGACCTATTCAGAAATCCCCACTGTCAAGGTCTTTGTGCAAACGTACCCGGATACTGGGTACAATCGGACGACTTAACGTATGCTTTCCATACACGTCCATGAAATATATTATCTATTCAACTTTGCACGACCCGACTATTCTTCTTTTGCCTAGAGAACATTAAACCCACTGTACGATCCTTCTTGGAAATAGGTTTAGAGCAATCAATAGAGGAACAGTAAGTATGGTTGAGGAGCATTCATGTTGACAAGCCTACTCTTCGACGGTGTCTCACACTGTTATGACACACGTATAGCAACGGTCGGGGCAGTCACACACAACATATTCATACCCTGACATATTCACAGGTAGGAAAAGATTATTCCTTTTGTATTTCTCTACTGAAATTTCATTTTAAAGGTTATTCATATCAGCAAGAAGTTTGAAATAATGTATGAAGTTAAATGCTAAAGACAAGGAAACTCTTTCACATTTGTCACACGTTGGTTACTTTCCTTACTGCTTGTATCCGTCTTAAAGTCTGTGGTAGGCAGTTAGAAGTTGGAACAACATGAAAACGTGACACATTTTAATAGATAACAAAATATTTTATTCTTTGTAAACGCCGTTTCAGAGCTGCTCCTTGCCCCCTCACCAGGTGAATACTGAGTATACTCCACACCCTTACTCAGTATCAGTAAAAATAAATGGCATGAATTTATGTTTATTTCATAACACCTTCCTTACAATATATACACTGAAGAGAAGGATTTCGTGGGACATAGTTTCATGATAACATATTTTGATAATTGCAAATCACTGAAAGACGTGTGTCTGTGTTTGCCATAGATGTTGTCAACTGATGGGTAAAGTCAAGATCTATCCGGAGGCAGGTGCGACGTCTGACGTCGAGAAGCAGAAACTAGCTGCAGGCAGTGGAATTAATCTGGAGACCATCCAGGATGACCAGCAACTCATTGAGACAATCAGATCCCGTCCGATCTCCATCAGGGACAAGATCAAGCTCAAGTTAGTAATTCTAGCGAGATTTCAGTAAATACCACAACAGGTTAATCTCATATGTTGTGACAAGCAATCTCTACTCCACTGTCTAACAACTGGTGTATGACTCTTGTTAAATTATTTGAGTTATTTGTGTGACTATTACAGTCTATGTGCTGACAATGTCTTATATTTTCCTGAGGTATCTGACAAATGGGCTGAGATAGGGACTAGTCTATTTTACCACTTGGGTAACGTACATTTGATATAAAGAGAAGTCAGCCGTGACATTTGTGATTTTAAGGCGTCTGACAAATGGGGTGCGACCTCATGGCCGTACTCTAACAGGCATATTGCAGCATATGAAACGGTAATTGCAAACATAGACATTGCATTGTAATGTGTACGGTATGTGATATTTCCAGTATGTCAAATAGTGAACTCGTAATTATAAATGATTGACCATGTGGAAATTTGTTCTGTGTTTACCATTATCACGGCAACACGATGTACTATATTTCGTTCTTGTCAACGTTAACCATTATCCGAGCATCATACCGTACTGTTTTTCGGTGGGTAGCTTAGTGGTTAAAGTGTTCGTTTGTCACGCCGAAGACCCAGTTTCGATTCCCCACATGGGTACAATGTATGAAGCCCATTTCTGGTGTCCCCAGCCGTGATACTGCTAAAAGCGGCGTAAAGCACAACTCACTCGTTATTATCGACGTTTACCATTATCCCAGCACCTTGACGTTCTGTCTTCATACTTCAAGACGGGTCCACATGGAGGGTAACTTGATGGTACTATAAAAACAAACCTTGTTCACCGTTTCTTCATTTCTTCTGGCAGACAATCACATTTTGTACAAATCTGATGTATATTTAGACTTAAGATCCTACGATCTTAGAAACAAAATTCCGCAAACCTAGTTATTATCAACACATAGGCCTAAACATCCACGCTTAAAGTAGGAGGTTGAGAGCCAATCCTGACATTAGTTTTCAAATTGACAAACTGATAGTGACAATCTCGGATTAATATTTTCAATGGTTTTGTTTCTTACTCCATCTCCAGAGATGCGCTGTGTTCCGGGTCGGTCGGGCTCTCCACGTGCGAGTCATGGCGGTACAGTATGGCCAGGGTAGGTAGCTGCCGATAGCCACGGGGATGTTGTATAGAGTCGCGCTGACTGATGCTGTATATACTCGCACATATCCATGGCGACTTGTTACATATATCTCCTGGCTTGTTACATATATCTCTTGGCTTGTTACATATATCTCCTGGTTTGTTACATATATCTCTTGGCTGGTGACATGTATCTCCTGGCTTGTAACATCTATCTCCTGGCTTGTTACATATATCTCCTGGCTTGTTACATATATCACCTGGCTTGTTACATATATCACCTGGTTTCTTACATATATCTCTTGGCTGGTGACATGTATCTCCTGGCTTGTTACATCTATCTCCTGGCTTCTAACATATATCTCCTGGCTTGTTACATATATCTCCTGGCTTGTTACATATATCTCCTGGCTTCTTACATATATCTCTTGGCTGGTGACATATATCTCCTGGCTTGTAACATCTATCTCCTGGCTTGTTACATATATCTCCTGGTTTGTTACATATATCTCTTGGCTTGTGACATGTATCTCCTGGCTTGTTACATCTATCTCCTGGCATGTTATATATATCTCCTGGTTTGTTACATATATCTCTTGGCTTGTGACATGTATCTCCTGGCTTGTAACATCTATCTCCTGGCTTGTTACATATATCTCCTGGTTTGTTACATATATCTCTTGGCTGGTGACATGTATCTCCTGGCTTGTTACATCTATCTCCTGGCTTCTAACATGTATCTCCTCGCTTGTTACATATATCTCTTGGCTGGTGACATATATCTCCTGGCTTGTAACATCTATCTCCTGGCTTGTTACATATATCTCCTGGTTTGTTACATATATCTCTTGGCTGGTAACATGTATCTCCTGGTTTGTTACATCTATCTCCTGGCTTGTTACATATATCTCCTCGCTTGTTACATATATCTCCTGGCTTGTTACATATATCTCCTGGCTTGTTACATATATCTCTTGGCTTGTGACATGTATCTCCTGGCTTGTTACATATATCTCCTGGCTTCTTACATATATCTCCTGGCTTCTTACATATATCTCTTGGCTGGTGAAATGTATCTCCTGGTTTGTAACATCTATCTCCTGGCTTGTCACATATATCACCTGGTTTCTTACATATATCTCTTGGCTGGTGACATGTATCTCCTGGCTTGTAACATCTATCTCCTGGCTTCTAACATATATCTCCTCGCTTGTTACATATATCTCCTGGTTTGTTACATATATCTCTTGGCTGGTGACATGTATCTCCTGGCTTGTAACATCTATCTCCTGGCTTCTAACATATATCTCCTCGCTTGTTACATATATCTCCTGGTTTGTTACATATATCTCTTGGCTGGTGACATGTATCTCCTGGCTTGTTACATCTATCTCCTGGCTTCTAACATATATCTCCTCGCTTGTTACATATATCTCTTGGCTGGTGACATATATCTCCTGGCTTGTAACATCTATCTCCTGGCTTCTAACATATATCTCCTGGCTTGTTACATATATCTCCTGGTTTGTTACATATATCTCTTGGCTGGTGACATGTATCTCCTGGCTTGTTACATCTATCTCCTGGCTTCTAACATATATCTCCTCGCTTGTTACATATATCTCTTGGCTGGTGACATATATCTCCTGGCTTGTAACATCTATCTCCTGGCTTGTTATATATATCTCCTGGTTTGTTACATATATCTCTTGGCTGGTAACATGTATCTCCTGGCTTGTTACATCAATCTCCTGGCTTCTAACATATATCTCCTCGCTTGTTACATATATCTCTTGGCTGGTGACATATATCTCCTGGCTTGTAACATCTATCTCCTGGCTTCTAACATATATCTCCTCGCTTGTTACATATATCTCTTGGCTGGTGACATGTATCTCCTCGCTTGTAACATCTATCTCCTGGCTTGTTACATATATCTCCTGGTTTGTTACATATATCTCTTGGCTGGTGACATGTATCTCCTCGCTTGTAACATCTATCTTCTGGCTTGTTACATATATCTCCTGGTTTGTTACATATATCTCTTGGCTGGTGACATGTATCTCCTGGCTTGTTACATCTATCTCCTGGCTTCTAACATATATCTCCTCGCTTGTTACATATATCTCTTGGCTGGTGACATATATCTCCTGGCTTGTAACATCTCTCTCCTGGCTTGTTACATATATCTCCTGGTTTGTAACATATATCTCTTGGCTGGTGATATGTATCTCCTGGCTTGTTACATCTATCTCCTGGCTTCTAACATCTATCTCCTCGCTTGTTACATATATCTCTTGGCTGGTGACATATATCTCCTGGCTTGTAACATCTATCTCCTGGCTTGTTACATATATCCCCTGGCTTGTTACATATATCTCCTAGATTCTTACATATATCACCTGGCCTGTTACATATATCTCCTAGATTCTTTCCGTATCACCTGGCTTTTCACATATATCTCCTAGCTTGTTACGTATATCTCCTAGATTCTTACATATATCACCTGGCTTGTTACATATATCTCCTAGAATGTTACATATATCTCCTGGCTTGTTACATATATCCCTTGGCTTGTGACATATATCTCCTAGATTCTTACATATATCTCCTAGCTTGTTACATATATCACCTCGCTTGTAACATATATCTCCTGGCTTGTTACATCTATCTCCTGGCTTGTTACATATATCCCTTTGCTTGTTATATATATCTCCTAGATTCTTACATATATCTCCTGGCTTGTTACATCTATCTCCTGGCTTGTTACATATATCTCCTAGATTGTTAGATATATCACCTGCTTTGTTACATATATCTCCTAGCATGTTACGTATATCTCCTAGATTCTTACATATATCACCTGGCTTGTTACATATATCTCCTAGAATGTTACATATATCTCCTGGCTTGTTACATATATCTCCTGGCTTGTTACATATATGCCCTGGCTTGTTACATATATCTCCTGGCTTGTTACAAATATCACTTGGCTTGTTGCATATATCTCCTTGATTGTTACATATATCTCCTGGCTTGTTACATATATCACCTGGCTTGTTACATAAATCTTCTAGATCGTTACATATATATCCTGGCTTGTTACATATATCACCTGGCTTGTTACATATATCGCCTAGATTGTAACATATATCTCCTGGCTTGGTACATATATCACCTGCCTTGTTACATATATCTCCTGGCTTGTTACATATATGCCCTGGCTTGTTACATATATCTCCCCTGGCTTGTTAGATATATCTCCTGGCGTGTTGCATATATCTCCTGGCTTGTTACATATATCACCTCGTTTGTTACATATATATCCTGGTTTGTTACATATATCTCCTGGCTTGTTACATATATCACCTGGCTTGTGACATATATCATCTGCCTTTTTACATATATCACCTGCTTTGTTACATATATCACTTGGCTTGTTACATACACCTCCTAGATTGTTACATATATCCCCTGGCTTGTAACATATATCCCCTGGCTTGTTACATATATCTCCTCGATTGTTACATATATCCCCTGGCTTGTTACATATATATCCTAGATTGTTACATATATCTCCTGGTTTGTTACATATATCCCCTGGCTTGTTACATATATCACCTGCCTTGTTACATACATCACCTGCCTTGTTACATATATCACCTGGCTTGTTACAAATATCACTTGGCTTGTTGCATATATCTCCTTGATTGTTACATATATCTCCTGGCTTCTAACATATATCTCCTGGCTTGTTACATATATCTCCTGGTTTGTTACATATATCTCTTGGCTGGTGACATGTATCTCCTGGCTTGTAACATCTATCTCCTGGCTTCTAACATATATCTCCTGGCTTGTTACATCTATCTCCTGGCTTGTTACATATATCTCCTAGATTGTTACATATATCACCTGCTTTGTTACATATATCTCCTAGCATGTTACGTATATCTCCTAGATTCTTACATATATCACCTGGCTTGTTACATATATCTCCTAGAATGTTACATATATCTCCTGGCTTGTTACATATATCTCCTGGCTTGTTACATATATGCCCTGGCTTGTTACATATATCTCCTGGCTTGTTACAAATATCACTTGGCTTGTTGCATATATCTCCTTGATTGTTACATATATCTCCTGGCTTGTTACATATATCACCTGGCTTGTTACATAAATCTTCTAGATCGTTACATATATCTCCTGGCTTGTTACATATATCACCTGGCTTGTTACATATATCGCCTAGATTGTAACATATATCTCCTGGCTTGGTACATATATCACCTGCCTTGTTACATATATCTCCTGGCTTGTTACATATATGCCCTGGCTTGTTACATATATCTCCCCTGGCTTGTTAGATATATCTCCTGGCGTGTTGCATATATCTCCTGGCTTGTTACATATATCACCTCGTTTGTTACATATATATCCTGGTTTGTTACATATATCTCCTGGCTTGTTACATATATCACCTGGCTTGTGACATATATCATCTGCCTTTTTACATATATCACCTGCTTTGTTACATATATCACTTGGCTTGTTACATACACCTCCTAGATTGTTACATATATCCCCTGGCTTGTAACATATATCCCCTGGCTTGTTACATATATCTCCTCGATTGTTACATATATCCCCTGGCTTGTTACATATATATCCTAGATTGTTACATATATCTCCTGGTTTGTTACATATATCCCCTGGCTTGTTACATATATCACCTGCCTTGTTACATACATCACCTGCCTTGTTACATATATCACCTGGCTTGTTACAAATATCACTTGGCTTGTTACATATATCTCCTGGCTTGTTACATAGATCTCCTGGCTTGTTACATATATCTCCTGGCTTGTTACATATATCTCCTGGCTTGTTACATATATCTCCTGGCTGGTTGCATATATCTCCTCACTTGTTACATATATCTCCTGGCTTGTTACATATATCTCCTGACTTGTTACATATGTCTCCTGGCTTGTAACATATATATCCTGGCTTGTTACATATATCACCTGGATAGTTACGACTTCTTGTACAGCCAGGCCAGGCACACTGATCATTCGTCCAGTTTCGTTGTACTGCGGTTTAAGTTAGAAATCCAAAGTTTAGCATAACATATGTCATACGGACACCTATCCTGATATAAACAATTCTTGAAATAAGCAGCTTCAGTCTGTATCATTTTTTTTTTTTATCCCAACCAGTCAAGGCAGAAGTTCAACATAAAGGCAAAGGAAGCGATCAGTACCATTGAGTTATGGGGCAGCTCGTTTCACAACATAGAAGGTTGGCCTCTATGTTATACTTCTGTTTAAATAATATGAAACCACATTTCTTACAATGTACATATTGTACAAGGGAATTACATATGATTATATAGGGACAAATGTCTGCCATTGGCTTTGACAATTCAGCCGTCACTATATTTGGTTCGTAGGAGTGTTCTGGTATGCATACCGGAAGTTGTGTGGCTTTATATTTTAATTATCTACATCTTGAATTCAAATCCCGCATTTTGCTATCATTATATGCATTGTGTTCATCATTATATCACATAGACCTGGAGTAATTTTGTTGAAAACTGACTAAAAATTATGTTTGGTAATAAATAATAAAACTCGTTCCCGTTTCATATCAAGTTCCCTCGTAAAATATTTCTTCTTGTCTGTATAGCTTGATATGAAATGGAAATGAGTGTTATTATTTAGTTATCATATCCTATAATTATCTCCCCTTGTTCAAGGTCACCATGGTACGGGGGTATTATCCTACTTCGTGTTCCTGAGGTGGATGTTTGGCTTGAATATCCTCCTGTTCCTTCTGATGTTTGGCTTCATCACTGTGCCCACTATCCTCCAGCCTGCCATCGACTACACCGCCAGCAGCACCGACACCGCAGTGTCGCAGTCGTACAGCTGCACACAAACCTACAAGGAAACCGCCACGACTGACGTCGTACAGTTCATGCTGCACGTCATCCAGGGGACGGTCAGTTAGCTCCAAATAGCGTGTGTCATATATATTGTTTCATATTCTGGGGACACGGTTGACCATGTCTCCTGAGGCAGTTCCCATGCGTGCCAGGATGTTAAGATGCTTTGTTCGTCAAATATCAAATGGTCGGTCTCTTAACATATACTCACTGCCAAAAGAAACGCGAATAACATAAATGTTGGTTAATATATTAAGACTTATATTCAAGAGATATTAGATTGGTTCGATGCACATAAAGGTATGTCGTGTGAACCAGTGCTCATGAACGTATCACATGTGACGTCATAGGTCCATGACTAGAGATGCACCATTTGTCTCGTGAAGGATTAGCGTGTAAAGTTTAAAGTCACGTGCAGCATATCGTGATAAGAATAAAGTCACTATTGGAAACATCTCTTCTTAACAAACATACTTCTCTATATGTTTCTATGATTCGCAGGTTTTTTTGGCGGTGAGTAGATGTAAAGAAAATCCGATAAAGGAATATGGGGTGCAGGTTTAAGGTCTCGGCGGTGTACTCTGTGACTGAAACATGTTTCGCGAAGTGCATAGATGGCTGAAAGAAGTTTGCTGATGAATAGGTGCATTCAGGCCTTTGTGTACAACGTTATACATTGAAGCGATATTGACAATCGCCCTGATCTTAAAGCTTGGCGTGTCGGCACAAAAACCCTGTGAGGTGGTGCATGCTTAGAACCTGCACAAATTAGTCAAGCCGTAAAAAAACTAACATTAGTTCAAATCGCTGTTAAACCAATCACACCCATAATCAATAAATATAACAAGCTTCTTTTTGCAATGAAATGTGATGCAGTGTTCGGGTGTTGGCAAAGTCCTTCTATGGCAGCGTCTGTAAGTAATCGAGTCTAGGTCAATCTGGGTCACACGAGGAACGACCCCCGCCGTCGAGTGACACGATGACCACACGATGACCACCCGATCATCATACTGGCCTTGGACATGGGCTGTTTTGGGATGCGGAATCCCCTCAGAATCCCAATATACTCTGCTGTGTCTGCCCCAAGGAGACTAGGAGAGACGAAGTATTTATTTTCAAGGTCGCTATGTTGCTGATCACTTCAGATTATTACTTGAGTGTGGTAAATAGCATACAGTAAACTACGTATATAACGAACACGCTTATAACGAACTGACGTATATAACGTCCCGGCCATTTGCTGTATATATGTTGTATATATGCTTATAACGAACTACGGTTATATCAAGCTAAAATCAGTGGTCCCTTTGAGGTCGTTATAGACGTAGTTTACTGTATACTAAACACTTTGAAAACGCATAGTCGATTTTTTTGTGATATTGGTTAAACGGACACAAAAATCAAATTGTTCTGGGTATTTAGGCATGAGATAATTAAACACAACAATGTCGGGCTCGAATGTTATCCGATGTCATCCACAGGAGGTTAATAATGTCTTTATCACATACTGTCATTATTAACATAATAGAAGTTTAAGAGATAATGCTATTCACTACAGTAACTTCAGAAACCACGTGGAAATGTGACTAAAGTCCTTTGGCACTCGACCCTCGGCCATGTTGGTGCCTCTCTATGGAACTCCCTTCCCTTCAGCCTCACAAGTGCACCTAGTATCACTGTGTTTGAGTCTGGACTCACTGTCCCCTCTCTGTTGTATATATGAACATTTGCAGATTTGCGCATTGAGCATGTCCCTCAGTGATGTGGAATTTGTGCTATACAAATAGCCTTATTATATTTTATTATTATGAAGTGACCAGGCCCACTAAGGTCATCGTACCCACTGACAGCTGCCATGGCTGTTTACATACGCTCTCCCACATCGGGAAACCATCATCTCATCCTTTAGGGAACGTTATGCAATAGTTTTAAAGGAAGTAACATCTACGTACAGACCTAACTATAAAGTAGATTCTAGCAGATGATCTCATGCGCCTTATCGGATCATGATACTAAGTTTATCGAATTGGCTTATCGCATCGATAACACTAACCATTATAAAACAGTTCGGTTCAAGACAGGCGATTGTGTGTCTCTGTGATCAGGCAAGGCTCTGTGTTCCAGGGGTACATGGAGAAGACACACCTCTTCTACGGCTTCTATTCGGGAACCCAGTTCCTGCGAGGAACAGGCACAGCATCGACCTTTCCGTACAACATCCCACTGGCTTACTTCATCACCTCTGCCGCGTGTCTGGTAGTCAGTCTTCTCCTCATGGCCAAGTAGTAAGTTTTCTTTTAGTTTGTTTGTATATAATTAACGCCCACTCATCACTATTGCCCCTATATGAAGGTAAATAGTCGAGTCTGGACAAGATAAACCAGGGATTGATATTAAGAGCAACAAGCATATGTCGGGGTACATTGGCACGCCATCACTGATTCCATTAAGTCGCCTCTCACAACAAGCATGGGTTGCTTGGGGCCAATGTTAACCCAGAATCCCCATTTGTTATGGATCCAATAGTCGCTCTTGACGGTACAGTGAGGAGTGAGTGAGTATGGTTTTACGCCGCTTTTAGCAATATCCCAACAATATCACGGGGACACCAGAAATGGTGCACATAGTGTACCCATGTAGGGAATCGAACCCGGGTCTTCGGCGTGACAAGCGAACGCTTTAACCACAAGGCTACCCCTCCGCATCTCTGGACGGAACAGTTCATGGTGTAATGTTTATAGAGTTGAACTTGTCTTTGAAAACAATAGTTTACTGGATTCTTTTACTACTGTTAGGTACGTGGCACACTTCTGCCAATGAGATGTACTGATTTTTCTTTAACGATCAATGGGATCTACGGAGTCCGCTGTTTTGCTTGATTATCCAAGAGCATCCTGGGTTTCATTTGTGAATATATTTGTCCAGAAACCTTCTCTGAAATTATGTTGCTTGGTTTTCCTGGGAATGAAACAGCCTCGTTTGGTAAGCAAACATTCTAAAATGGTCCATTTGGTGATTATATGTCAGGTACTGGGATTACTTCAATAATAGTGTGTGAGTTTCTTCACGCAGAGGAATACATCTTTCCAGGAACATCCGTTGATTACACAACACTCCCCATTCGTTGGCCGCGTCATAACGAGAGACGTTACGAGAAGGTACTTATTGTTACCCTGCCTGGCGCTCGGCATTAAGGATTAAAACAAGGACTGGTCGGCTCGGAGTCAGTATACTGTGTCTGAAAGTGTCATCCATGTTAAACTGTGACATGGTGTCTCATTTGGCTGACACTATGGAACCGGCATTAGTCCGGACTAGTACGAGCAGACACACATGTTCGCACGCACGCACGACACACACACACACATGCACTAAAATCGCGACTTTAAACCCCATTTCATCTCACCTTTGTTTTGTACACCTGTAAAACTTCCCGTTTCTAGCACTGCGAAGGGCTTGTGGGACTTCGTGATGGACGAGCACGACTCCGGCCACGACTTCTGCAGCAAGGTGTTCTGCAGCTGGGACTACTCCCTCAACGACGACCACACGGCGACTGCAAAGTACAAAAGTATTAGCTATGATTTCAAAGTGAGTCCAGTATTCTCGTCTGTTACTCCATGAAGCTGGGCCCTCGCGTGTACATATATGGTGGCTAAACCAAGCTTCGATCTAGGACGTCTCAATAGCATCGTGTAGAAATGTTCAGGAGGAGCCGGACATTTATTTTCAGAACATCCGGTTTGTCAAGCGAACTGTTGTTTTGACGTTTTTATACCCTGGGGCCAAACTATTTTCCAGTACTTTCTAGCTCAATTCTCGTTTTAACAAATTCAGACTCCAACGAGAATACTAGAATACCAAGTGGCCCCTCCGTCAATCTGCCCCTGCGTTTAGATCATTGCACTTGACAATCTCGTAATAGAGGTAATGTCAGCGGCAAATGACGGAAGACTTCCATCACTTACGTCAGTCCTTGTTCAACATGGAGTAATGTGAATAGCCGGTTCTTTATAAGGCCAAGGTAGATGTGGAAGAACGTCTATCTTTTCTGAACGTACATGATACACATTCGTTCTCTGTCTGTGAAGACGTTCGTGTAGATGAGTGAGTGAGTGAGTTGGGTTTAACGCCGCTTTTAAAAGTATTCCAGTTATATCACGGCGTGTCAGCTTAATGTGGGAGGAAAGCCCGAAGTGATGTAGGTCTTAGACGTTTACCACTTCGGTGAAACCCACGAGCACGGGTATGGTGCCTACAAACCTAGAAACATAATTGGAGCGAACCGGGATTCGAACCCACAATCATAGGTTTCTGGCGTGTCCAAGGGACGCAACTCTGCACAGCGAATCGCGGCGCCTTATGCGACTTGGCCATCCGTGCCCCCTCGTGTAGATGACAAGAGATTCGTGTGTGAAAATGTTCATGTAGACTGAATAGATGAATGTGTGATTGAATCGGTGCACATGTCAAGACGTTCGTTTAGACTGAATAGATACGTGTGTCAAGACGTTATTTTAGACTGAATAGATACGTGTGTCAAGACGTTAGTTTAGACTGAATAGATACGTGTGTGAAGACGTTAGTTTAGACTGAATAGATACGTGTGTGAAGACGTTAGTTTAGACTGAATAGATACGTGTGTGAAGACGTTAGTTTAGACTGAATAGATACGTGTGTGAAGACGTTAGTTTAGACTGAATAGATACGTGTGTGAAGACGTTAGTTTAGACTGAATAGATACGTGAGTCAAGACGTTAGTTTAGACTGAATAGATACGTGTGTGAAGACGTTAGTTTAGACTGAATACATACGTGTGTCGCGTCCTTCTGTTGCCCCAGTGTGACCTAGCCGAGGACCGCTACAGGAGGCAACAAGCTCGGATACAGGACAGTTGTTGTAAGCGATGCGGCCTCTACACCCTCCGCTTCCTGGTCAACGTCTTTGTCATCGCTTGTCTCGCAGGAGGAGGGGCAGCCATCTTTTTTGCAACAAAATGGTCAACTGAAGTACGTTTCTTTTTTAAACTATGTTTTCCTCCCTACCACTCAGATGCAAAAAAATATCTTCTATGTCCAGACATCTACTACAACTGGTATTTTTTGTAATCCGGAGCTCGCACGTGGAGTTATATTGATTCGTTTGTCTTTACAAATTATGTTTTCACGGGTGCTTTCTAAAACACTCTGATAGCGACGTATGCTTGATTCATCGTCTCACAATACTTCCACAAAACCGTCAATTCCTGCAACTCAGTTATAGAAGCGCATACCAGTACCACCGTGGTCACCTAGGGGCCCGGTATCTTCATTCTTCTAGACGCAAACCCTTTCTTCCAATTTATATAAGTGAGTGAGTGGGTTGGGTACAACGCCACTTTTGACAGTATTCCAGTCACATCACGGCGTGTCAGCTTAACGTGGGAGAAAAAGCCCGAAGTGATGCAGGTCTCAGACGTTTACCACTTCGGTGAAACCCACGAGCAGGGGTATGGTGCTGACAAACCTAGAAACATAATCGGGGCGAACCGGGATTCGAACCCACAATCATAGGTTTCTGGTGTGCCCAAGGGAAGCAACTCTGCACAGCGAATTGTGGCGCCTTAGACGTATTTTGAATAAGACTTTATGATACACAGAGACATATGTCACCATCCTCTCCCCTTTTCCCAGTTCGTGTCCGCTAACCCGTCCGCCGAAAGCTACGTGCTGCTGCTGGTGGAGTTCCTGCCGTCCCTCACCATCACCGTCCTCAACGTCATCATCCCCCTCATCTTCGACAAGGTCGTCTTGCTTGAGAAGTACTCCCAGGCTGTGGTCGTGCAGATCACCCTTATCAGGTACGCAAACATCAGGGCTTCATTCCTATAGAAAACACGAGACACACCCTCAAAATATGTGTATACATAGAACGCATGTTTGATGTTTGGTGCACTATATGACGGCGGCACATATAATAATACGTCCATTAAACATTTGTCCATGGCGCCACATTATTATCACCACGATCAATGGATCCGTGTTAACCCCAATTTTATTCTTAGCTCCCTGGGAAGTACACAACCCAAGCTGCCAGTCACTTCATCGTGCCTTTCTCGGAGGCCCGTACATATTTTTTTTATGATTGTGATGTTAAAGTATACCACATACCGAACTGTTCAATCAATTACACACTCGTGAATATCTGGGTCAGAATAGGTCTTCAAGAACCCATGCTTGCGTAAAAGGCGACTATGCTTGTCGCAAGCGGCGACTAACGGGATCGGATGGTCAGGCTCAACTTGGTTGATGCATGTCATCGTATCCCAATTGCCTAGATCGATGCTCATGATATCAATCACTTGATTATCTTGTCCAGATTCGATTATTTACAGACCGCCGTCGTAAAGCTGGAATATTGCTGAGTGCGGCGTAAACAACAAACAAACAGTCAAATGTACACAGTATTGGTTATAACTTATCGCACTTGTGTTTGAAGGACTGTGTTTCTGCGTCTGGCCTCCCTGGCTATGCTGATAGTGTCCTTGTACACTGAGATCCAGTGTGATAACAGAGACAGCTGTGGGACCAATATTCTACCTTGTACAGTCATTCCGGTAAATATCTAGTTTACCTTTTCTGTTGTGAGTTGCGTTGTGTGAACACTGCGTGGAACAGTACATTCACAACACACTGTGTCTTACATCGGACTCAGGGACATCCACATCCCGTTCAACAAAGCGATTGCAGCGCTAAGACGATCGTAACTCCCATACTTGAACATAGACTTACGGCAGTCGTAGCGCTAAGATCGCCTTGTGGAACAGGGCCTTGATTCCAGCGGTTCAGGGGCGGTGGTGTAGCCTAGTGGTTAAAGCGTTCGATCGTCACGCCGCATGCCCGGGTTCGATTCTCCTGACTGTTGTGCGTGGAATAGGGAATGTTCTATGTTAAATGTGGGACTGTCCTGTGTGTAATGTGTTACTGTTCTGTGTGTAATGTAGAATGCTCTGTGTGTAATGTAGAATGCTCTGTGTGTAATGTAGAATGTTCTGTGTGTAATGTAGAATGTTCTGTGTGTCATGTGGAATGTTCTGCTGACAGTGTTGGGAGACGTACGTGGGACAACAGATGTACAAGTTGGTCATCATGAACTTCCTGGTAACCGTCATCAAGGTGTTCCTGGTCGAGCTCCCGAGAAAGTGAGTGACGTGCACGTGACCTACAATCTTATTAAGACTACACTGCGACAATGAATGAGGCATAAACTAATCCAATACATAGACCCACAGCCCAGCTTGTCACACCTTGTTCCCCAATAACTGACCTAACTCTGCCGGTAGTCAGTGCCCTTTCATCATTGACCTGCCGGAAGTCAGTGCCCTTTCATCATTGACCTAACTCTGCCGGTAGTCAGTGCCCTTTCATCATTGACCTAACTCTGCCGGTAGTCAGTGCCCTTTCATCATTGACCTAACTCTGCCGGTAGTCATAGCCCTTTCAGCATTGACCTAACTCTGCCGGTAGTCAGTGCCCTTTCATCATTGACCTGCCGGAAGTCAGTGCCCTTTCATCATTGACCTAACTCTGGCGGTAGTCAGTGCCCTTTCATCATTGACCTATCTCTGCCGGTAGTCAGTGCCCTTTCATCATTGACCTAACTCTGCCGGTAGTCAGTGCCCTTTCATCATTGACCTAACTCTACCGGTAGTCATAGCCCTTTCATCATTGACCTAACTCTGCCGGTAGTCATAGCCCTTTCATCATTGACATAACTCTGCCGGTAGTCAGTGCCCTTTCATCATTGACCTAACTCTGGCGGTAGTCAGTGCCCTTTCATCATTGACCTAACTCTGCCGGTAGTCAGTGCCCTTTCATCATTGACCTAACTCTGCTGGTAGTCAGTGCCCTTTCATCATTGACCTGCCGGAAGTCAGTGCCCTTTCATCATTGACCTAACTCTGGCGGTAGTCAGTGCCCTTTCAGCATTGACCTAACTCTGGCGGTAGTCAGTGCCCTTTCATCATTGACCTAACTCTGCCGATAGTCAGTGCCCTTTCAGCATTGACCTAACTCTGCCGGTAGTCAGTGCCCTTTCATCATTGACCTATCTCTGCCGGTAGTCAGTGCCCTTTCATCATTGACCTAACTCTGCCGGTAGTCATAGCCCTTTCATCATTGACCTAACTCTGCCGGTAGTCATAGCCCTTTCATCATTGACCTAACTCTGCCGGTAGTCATAGCCCTTTCATCATTGACCTAACTCTGCCGGTAGTCATAGCCCTTTCATCATTGACCTAACTCTGGCGGTAGTCAGTGCCCTTTCATCATTGACCTAACTCTGCCGGTAGTCAGTGCCCTTTCATCATTGACCTAACTCTGCTGGTAGTCAGTGCCCTTTCATCATTGACCTGCCGGAAGTCAGTGCCCTTTTATCATTGACCTAACTCTGCCGGTAGTCAGTGCCCTTTCATCATTGACCTAACTTTGCCGGTAGTCAGTGCCCTTTCATCATTGACCTAACTCTGCTGGTAGTTAGTGCCCTTTCATCATTGACCTATCTCTGCCGGTAGTCACTGCTGTTTCCTACTGCCCATGTATTAGTGATGAACAATTACCGGTACTCACTACTGTTTCTCACACGAACATTCTGTCCAGGTTCATCGTCACCAAGTGTGGGGACAAGTCCAAGCTGCTTCAGATGATCGGCCCTCCGGAATTCCAGATTCCCCCGAATGTCCTTGACCTCGTGTACACACAAGCTATCTGCTGGTATGTTACTAGGATACACTGTCAGTCTTGTGATGTCACACTGTCTGCTAGTATGTTGCTAGGATACACTGTCAGTCGTGTGATGTCAGATTGTCTGCTGGTGGTGTTGCTAGGATACACTGTCAGTCGTGTGATGTCACACTGTCTGCTGGTATGTTGCTAAGATACACTGTCAGTCTTGTGATGTCACACTGTCTGCTGGTATGTTGCTAGGATACACTGTCAGTCTGGTGATGTCACACTGTCTGCTGGTATGTTGCTAGGATACACTGTCAGTCTTGTGATGTCACACTGTCTGCTGGTATGTTGCTAGGATACACTGTCAGTCTGGTGATGTCACACTGTCTGCTGGTATGTTGCTAGGATACACTGTCAGTCTTGTGATGTCACACTGTCTGCTGGTATCTTGTTAGGATACACGGTCAGTCGTGTGATGTCACACTGTCTGCTAGTGGTGTTGCTAGGATACACTGTCAGTCTGGTGATGTCACACTGTCTGCTGGTATGTTGCTAGGATACACTGTCAGTCGTGTGATGTCAGACTGTCTACTGCTGGTGTTGCTAGGATATACTGTCAGTCTGGTGATGTCACATTGTCTGCTGGTAGGGTTGCTATGATACACTGTCAGTCTTGTGATGTCACACTGTCTGCTGGTATGTTGCTAGGATACACTGTCAGTCGTGTGATGTCAGACTGTCTGCTGCCGGTGTTGCTAGGATACACTGTCAGTCTTGTGACGCACACTGTCTGCTGATGGGGTTGCTAGGATACACTGTCAGTCGTGTGATGTCACACTGTCTGCTGGTAGGGTTGCTAGGATCCACCGTTCGTCTGGTGATGTCAGACTGTCTGCTGGTAGGGTTGCTAGGATACACTGTCAGTCGTGTGATGTCAGACTGTCTGCTGGTAGGGTTGTTAGGATATACTGTCAGTCTGGTGATGTCACACTGTCTGCTGGTATGTTGCTAGGATACACTGTCAACGTCACGACGTCAGACTGTCTGCTGGTAGGGTTGCTAGGATACACTGTCAGTATTGCGATGTCAGACTGTCTGCTGGTAGGGTTGCTAGGATACACTGATATTTGATATATATGGTTTCAATCAGCGGTATTGGCAATGATAACGCTCTGTAACAATAATGTGTCACATTAAGCCCGCAGTTATTAACTGATTAGTAAACTTAAGGTTATTCAATAGTTGCCGTCATAGAATGTTATTGAGGTGATGTGAAATGGGGCTTAACGTCGCGTCCAAGATTATTACACTTATATAGCGACGTGCATGCACGTGTGTGTATGGCTGCTTGTGCTAGTCAGGACTAATGCCGATTCTATAGCGCTAGCCCACTGAGATGCCATGCTGCAATTTAACTTGAATGCTCCACTCAGACACAGTATACTGACTCCGAGCCGACCAGACCTTGTTTCCGCTAGTTAATGACGAGCGCCAAGCAGGTGACATGTTTTAACGTGTTTCGGTATGACGCGACCGGGGATCGAACCCCGGACCTTCAATTCTCCGGGCGGACGCTCTACCACGAGACCACGGAGCCGGGCTCTTAGAATGTAAGATGCACTGTACTGTGAATATGTAAATCAGAATGTCATTGTGTGAATGTCGTGACGAAGTAGTTCCTCTGTTCCAGGATCGGCTTCTTCTACGCCCCTCTGATACCGGCGCTCATCATCGTCCACATGTTTGTGGTGTTCTATGTTAAGAGGGTAAGTGATGAGTCCAGAGACACGAGTCGACGGTATACATCGTGTATCCGAAACTGGTACTGTTTGCCTCGTTTTCTTAGCGTTCACTATACATCCGAACTGGTACACAAACTTTCACGGTTCCAACACTGACGGCATAAAGTATGTTTGTGTGTATGTTTGTCTGTTGTTTAACGTCGAACTCAGTAATATTCCACCTATATGACGGCGTTCTGTAAATAATCGAGTCTGGACCAGACAATCAAGTCATTGATATCATGAGCATCGATCTAAACAATTGGGAATCGATGACATACATCTACCAATTCTGCGAGTCTCACCACCCGATCCTGTTAGTATATATTGTTATGTTTATTCATGTATGGGAGGCCATAGGCCCATGTACATTTCAGTTATATATAGTAACACACAGTTCAGGCAGTTTACATTGGAAACAATACTAAGGGTATAATATTAGGTCTTTGTACGTAATGATAGAGCTTCCTTCACATACTTAGCTACATTTCTGAGTATACAGTCATTTTGATTATTTAAGAGATTGCGAAAAGTATTAATACATGGATTGTTATAGAATCTTACAGGAATATACTTTTGTCTTGATGCGTAAAACGGGCAGACAAACACAGATTGGACTTCGTCCTCGATACAACCATTGTAACATAGCCGAAAAAGCGTTGTGAATAAACAATATCCTCTCTTCTGCCCATGTTACTCCATATAGGCAATTCTCTTAATCTCAACAGGCACAGCATACGTCTATGGTCTATATTTCTGAAAGTTGTAACACAGTATTCCATATCCAATAATATCTTGACGTGTAAATAATACCTTAATAGATTTTCATCTGTATACTCTGTTAAATCCAACAAACGCTGTCTAAACAGCTGCAAGAAAAAAATAACATCACTAATATTCTGCTCGTGCCACATATAACCAAATCCATAAATGTCGACTAAATATTTAAAATGTGTTGCCCAAGTAATTCTACCACATTCATCCAGCTTCTTCAGTAACAGGGGACACGGGTGGCCCAGTCGTCTAAGGCGCCGCCATTCGCTGTGCAGAGTTGCGTCCCTTGGACACGCCAGAAATCAATGATTGTGGGTTCGAACCCCGGTTCGCCCCGATTATGTTTCTAGGTTTGTCAGCACCATGCCCTTGCTCGTGGGTTTCACCGAAGTGGTAAACGTCTTAGACCTGCATCACTTTGGGCTTTCTTCCCACATTAAGCTGACACGCCGTGATATAACTGTAATACTGTTAAAAGCGGCGTTAAACCAAACTCACTCACACACACTCTTCTTTAACAAATAACACTGTCGGGGATATGTTTCATCATTCCAATCGTTATAAGAAGTTTACACTAGTATTTAACACACTTCATATGATAATCCACATGCAAACCATATCTACCATCCAGCTAATATTGCTGTGTTTGATACATGTTTACCCACTCCAACTTACCTCATCATCCATCGTGTGCACTGTGGGTCCTAGTCCTATTATCTGCCCGGATCTTCACGGGTCTCATGGAATAAAGAAATGAATTATTTCGTAAAACCCTACATTCGTGAGTGAGTGTGAGTGAATGAGTAAGTGAGTGAGTGAGTGAGGTGTTTGTCCCAAGTATCCCATGTTTGTACGTAACAGGAAGATGGTTACTGCACACTAAACTATGACTATCACCACTGCAGACACGAACTTTAGCTTTAAAGACAATGTTACCTAACGTGTGTGTGAGTGAGTGTAATGCCGCTTTGAACAGTAGTACGGTTACACGAGGGCGTGTTAAGCCCACGGCAATGCAGGCCCCTGGAGACAACAAACCAAGGGTAGTAAACACGGCGACTTTTATACCCGGATTGATGTTTGTGAGGTCATGTTTTCACCTATTCCCGTCGTATAGGAAACCGCTGTCAGCACTTGATACAAAGAAGATAGAAAGTGCCCGATGGATGCAAATCTAAAAAATGCTCACAATAAACGTTAGTCAACACTGTGGCTTGTATTGATAACATCTTCTCCGTGGAGTTCCAGTCCTATAAGAAAACATGTTCACTGAACAAGGGAGAGACTGGGTATATACTCATGGAAATAAGTAAGGGAAAACTTGATTCTAACATGCTGAATTTGTATGCGTGCTATATCAAATGTACTGACAGTAAAGCTTATTGGCCTATTCCCTTATTCGTTTCCATCAGCATACGACAACTAGATATTCGACGCTCACACAGCATATATAGCACCCGTTAGTGCGTTGGCTCTGTCATCGCCTATAGCGCTATTCCAGCGATACCACAGCGGGGACGCCGGGAGTGAGCTTTACATAGTGTACCCATGTTAGGAATCGAACCCGGGTTCTCAGCGTGACGAGCGAACACTTCAACCAGCCTTGGGCTGATTTTGACATGTAGGTGTCTTAAAGTTTTTTTCTTTTAACGGTATATCTTTCCACAGCTTAAAGTTACCTTGTTTGTTGCAGTTATCTGCCCTGAAGGCGTGTGAGCCGTCCAAGAGGCCGTACCGAGCGTCTCGCTCCAACTCCTTCTTCATGGTGGTGCTCTTCCTGGCCTTCTTCGTCTGCTGCATCCCCGTCATCTACACCATGGCCGCGTATGTACTCAGTGACCTCTTGTACCGCCCCTGTGGGGATCCCGGGCCAAGCAGACCCCAGTCCACCATGCCCGTATGTACTCCGTGACCTCTTGTACCGCCCCTGTGGGGATCCCGGGCCAAGCAGACCCCAGCCCCCCATGGCCGTATGTACTCGGTGACCCCTTGTACCGTCCCTGTGGGGATCCCGGGCCAAGCAGACCCCAGTTCACCATGCTTGTCGCGGGGTCCGACTTAAATGAGGACCGGAAGGCTACAATGTGTGATCTGGTTGGTTGTGTGTCATTGCACCCAGACAACATTTGTCTTAACCTGCCATCGTAACCTGGCCTTGTGTTGATTATGAACAGGCCGTCGTGCTATAGATGGAACAGTGCTGTCTAATGTGTAAAACAACAGTCAGGCAATGGGTGTCCCCTTTAACATCAGCGTCAGGAACATCATATCGAAAGTGACGTTACATGTGTTAAATGTTTCACAGCGCTACAAGGGGACAAGTACAAAGAACAAGGTCAAGTCAAGGTCACATTTTGCCAAAAAATGTTGTTAAAGAACAATGTCGTGTAAGGGGACTATTTTGGGGCAGATGATATAATACTGAATCCTTTAATTTCTCCATCTTGCAGTTTAAGTCCTTCAAAAGGATGTGGCCCGTTCAGGATCTACGCCTCAATGTTCACGGTGATCGACGAAACAGTCCAAGGTTTCCCCGCTGTTGTGGAGTCTATTTACAACGTCCTCACGTCGGCCGCCATCACGACTTCGGCCATAGTTCTGCTCGGGTAGGTGGTTCACACTGAATATAATCCCATTGCCAGGCGGTCCTTGGCTCTAAAGTGTATCCAAGGGAGGTCACTTAAAGGGGCGTTCACACGGTAGAAATAGGTGGTACAACTTGTGGCATGCAATTAGTTGTACGAACTGAAGTTGTATAACACATCATAACACCCCTCCACTATACGGCACAACCTCCTGAAGGCCCACCCCCCCCCCCCCCCCCCCCCCCCCCCCATCGATTCCGGCGATGCAAAGTACGCAAGTACCGGTCTTCATTGGGCGTAGTTACCCTAGGTCAGCCTGTTCGTGGCCTGTCTGATGTCTGCCCGGTCTGTCTGTAACGTTGCATCAGGCTAGTTACAGCAACATGGGAGCATCCAAAAGTCCTAGCAATGTAGACTTGGGTGGCTCCCATCAGTATCATACCGAGGGCTCGTCCCGTTATTCGGGTGGCCATCTGAGGTGATTGTTTATCATTGTGAATGTCTGACATGCCGTCCGTATCATTTATATATCCTTATTGCACGTGTAGTTTTGGCTGCCCAAATCGTTTTCACTTTTTTGCATATTCTGCAAAAAAATGTACCGTGGACGTGTAACACTTTCTGCACAGAGCATTGTTGTGTTCGGGTTGTCATATATACCCTACTCCTAAACATGCTGACCATATTTTAGGTTGTTGTATATAACCTACTCCTAAACACGTTGCCCATATTTCAGGTTGTCGTTGTATATACCCCACTCCTAAACACGTTGCCCATATTTCAGGTTGTCGTTGTATATACCCCACTCCAAAACACGTTGCCCATATTTCAGGTTGTCGTTGTATGTACCCTACTCCTAAAAACGTTGCCCATATTTCAGGTTGTCGTTGTATATACCCTACTCCTAAACACGTTGCCCATATTTCAGGTTGTTGTATATATTCTACTCCTAAACACGTTGCCCATATTTCAGGTTGTCGTTGTATGTACCCTACTCCTAAACACGTTGTCCATGTTTCAGGTTGTCGTTGTATATACCCTACTCCTAAACACGTTGCCCATATTTCAGGTTGTCGTTGTATGTACCCTACTCCTAAACACGTTGCCCATATTTCAGGTTGTCGTTGTATATACCCCACTCCTAAACACGTTGCCCATATTTCAGGTTGTCGTTGTATGTACCCTACTCCTAAACACGTTGTCCATGTTTCAGGTTGTCGTTGTATGTACCCTACTCCTAAACACGTTGCCCATATTTCAGGTTGTCGTTGTATATGCCCTACTCCTACACACGTTGCCCATATTTCAGGTTGTCGTTGTATATACCCTACTCCTAAAAACGTTGCCCATATTTCAGGTTGTCGTTGTATATGCCCTACTCCTACACACGTTGCCCATATTTCAGGTTGTCGTTGTATATACCCTACTCCTAAAAACGTTGCCCATATTTCAGGTTGTCGTTGTATATACCCTACTCCTAAACACGTTGCCCATATTTCAGGTTGTTGTATATATTCTACTCCTAAACACGTTGCCCATATTTCAGGTTGTCGTTGTATGTACCCTACTCCTAAACACGTTGTCCATGTTTCAGGTTGTCGTTGTATATACCCTACTCCTAAACACGTTGCCCATATTTCAGGTTGTCGTTGTATGTACCCTACTCCTAAACACGTTGTCCATGTTTCAGGTTGTCGTTGTATGTACCCTACTCCTAAACACGTTGCCCATATTTCAGGTTGTCGTTGTATATGCCCTACTCCTACACACGTTGCCCATATTTCAGGTTGTCGTTGTATATGCCCTACTCCTACACACGTTGCCCATATTTCAGGTTGTCGTTGTATGTACCCTACTCCTAAACACGTTGTCCATGTTTCAGGTTGTCGTTGTATATACCCTACTCCTAAACACGTTGCCCATATTTCAGGTTGTCGTTGTATGTACCCTACTCCTAAACACGTTGCCCATATTTCAGGTTGTCGTTGTATATACCCCACTCCTAAACACGTTGCCCATATTTCAGGTTGTCGTTGTATGTACCCTACTCCTAAACACGTTGTCCATGTTTCAGGTTGTCGTTGTATGTACCCTACTCCTAAACACGTTGCCCATATTTCAGGTTGTCGTTGTATATGCCCTACTCCTACACACGTTGCCCATATTTCAGGTTGTCGTTGTATATACCCTACTCCTAAAAACGTTGCCCATATTTCAGGTTGTCGTTGTATATGCCCTACTCCTACACACGTTGCCCATATTTCAGGTTGTCGTTGTATATACCCTACTCCTAAAAACGTTGCCCATATTTCAGGTTGTCGTTGTATATACCCTACTCCTAAACACGTTGCCCATATTTCAGGTTGTTGTATATATTCTACTCCTAAACACGTTGCCCATATTTCAGGTTGTCGTTGTATGTACCCTACTCCTAAACACGTTGTCCATGTTTCAGGTTGTCGTTGTATATACCCTACTCCTAAACACGTTGCCCATATTTCAGGTTGTCGTTGTATGTACCCTACTCCTAAACACGTTGTCCATGTTTCAGGTTGTCGTTGTATGTACCCTACTCCTAAACACGTTGCCCATATTTCAGGTTGTCGTTGTATATGCCCTACTCCTACACACGTTGCCCATATTTCAGGTTGTCGTTGTATATACCCTACTCCTAAAAACGTTGCCCATATTTCAGGTTGTCGTTGTATTACCCTACTCCTAAACACGTTGTCCATGTTTCAGGTTGTCGTTGTATGTAACCTACTCCTAAACACGTTGCCCATATTTCAGGTTGTCGTTGTATATGCCCTACTCCTAAACACGTTGCCCATATTTCAGGTTGTCGTTGTATGTACCCTACTCCTAAACACGTTGCCCATATTTCAGGTTGTCGTTGTATATACCCCACTCCTAAACACGTTGCCCATATTTCAGGTTGTCGTTGTATATACCCCACTCCTAAACACGTTGCCCATATTTCAGGTTGTTGTATATACGCTACTCCTAAACACGTTGTCCATGTTTCAGGTTGTCGTTGTATGTACCCTACTCCTAAACACGTTGTCCATGTTTCAGGTTGTCGTTGTATGTACCCTACTCCTAAACACGTTGCCCATATTTCAGGTTGTCGTTGTATGTACCCTACTCCTAAACACGTTGCCCATATTTCAGGTTGTCGTTGTATGTACCCTACTCCTAAACATGTTGTCCATGTTTCAGGTTGTCGTTGTATTATTGCTCGGTGATAAAGAGGGCACACATAAAGATGAAGAAACTGTTGCAGCACCAGCTCACACACGTACGTCACTTCTGGCTCGGGCTCATCCCATTGCACTCTCGGGGATATAAACACCATATTGTAATATCGGGGATATAAACACCATATTGTAATATCGGGGATAGAAACACCATATTGTAATATCGGGGATAGAAACACCATATTGTAATATCGGGGATATAAACACCATATTGTAATCTCAGGGATATAAACACCATATTGTAATCTCAGGGATAGAAACACCATATAGTAACATCGGGGATAGGAACACCGTATTGTAATCTCGGGGATATAAACACCATATTGTAATCTCGGGGATATAAACACCATATTGTAATCTCGAGGATAGAAACACCATATTGTAATCTCGAGGATAGAAACACCATATTGTAATCGCAGGGATATAAACACCATATTGTAACCTCGCTTTATTTCTTACCATGACGCTGAGGGTCGTTGTTCATTTTAGAAGCCACTGGTTGTGTGGCCAATGCTCCGGTATGGTTGCCGTGATAGACCGTAGTTAAGATGTCTAAATCAGAAGCTTTTGCACCTACTGTTGCAGAATGGAAAAGACAAGGATGTAGAACGTGCAAGATCACGCTGGGGTCCGCGTGCAGTCAGAGGTGGAAGGTCGGCTGAACCGGTCAGCGAGAAGGTGAAAAAGCAGACTCCTAACTTTAGCGACATAGACAAGTCTCACAGCAATGGTGCAGCTCCATCTGATAGACATGCCTAACAGCAACGACACGGCTCCATCTGATAGACATGCCTAACAGCAATGACACGGCTCCATCTGATAGACAACTCTAACAGCAATGACACGGCTCCGTCTGATAGACAACTCTAACAGCAATGACACGGCTCCATCTGATAGACATGTCTAACAGCAATGACACGGCTCCATCTGATAGACAACTCTAACAGCAATGACACGGCTCCGTCTGATAGACGTGCCTAACAGCAATGACACGGCTCCATCTGAGAGACAACTCTAAAAGCAATGACACGGCTCCGTCTGATAGACATGTCTAACAGCAATGACACGGCTCCATCTGATAGACATGTCTAACAGCAATGACACGGCTCCGTCTGATAGACATGTCTAACAGCAATGACACGGCTCCGTCTGATAGACATGCCTAACAGCAATGACACGGCTCCATCTGATAGACAACTCTAACAGCAATGACACGGCTCCATCTGATAGACATGCCTAACAGCAATGACACGGCTCCATCTGATAGACAACTCTAACAGCAATGACACGGCTCCATCTGATAGACATGTCTAACAGCAATGACACGGCTCCATCTGATAGACATCTCTAATAGTAATGCCAGTTCCTGTCTACATGACTGTGACAACCGTTGCAGAACGACGTGTTGAACGTCCATCTTACTCGTCAGCATCTTGCTGATCTGCGCTGTACAGCCATACTGTGATAGATATTACATGTCGTAAGATATTATATGTGTATTTATACCAAGAGATTATAGAAATAGTTATTTTGCTATATCTGTGATATACATTATACAGCATTCAGGGTGCTTGCAGGTGTTGGGGTGACGTTGGATGGGGAGGAGGGGGGAAGTAGTTGGAGAAACAGCTAAATAAATTAAATGTGCATGAGTAGCGAAATGATTAGGATGAACATTTGCTTCAGAGAACATTATAAATGCCCAGGTACCCACTATAAGACACATTTGGTAAGTTGACATATCGGTGTATCATTTGTCGTACTTAGGTTGTGATTTATTACCTTCTAGGAAGTCTTGCAAAGTTATCCTTCAAGTTATCCTTGTATTGTCATTGGCCAAGTATCAAAATCCAACATTGTTCTGGCGAATGATATAATTACCTGCTATAAAGTCACCTTATATAAAGTCCAGGTATGTTTATGATATTTATTCTTTGTTAAATGATGTCATAATTAAACACGCCCTCCATGACGGTGTCTGTCCTGTCTTTCCTGAACGTGTCTTGATTTTTTTTTTATATCTACAGGTGTGTTAGGTGATTGGCGAAACAACTGGGAGAAAGCCCAGCCTCGTGCCCACAAAGAAAAGTAAACACATCTTTGTTTGCGTATGCACCTAGTCCTGCTGAACACCATATATAACTGATAAGTGCTAAACTGGTTGTAAGGCCCGCCTAAGGCTTGGCTCAGCGGATCTGAAATTTCAACCTGCGACCATAATGCACATGTATACAACTGTCACCATATAGCACATGTATAGAACTGCCACCATATAATACATGTATAGAACTGCCACCATATAAAACATGTATAGAAACTGCCCCCATATAATACATGTATAGAACTGCCACAATATAATACATGTATAGAACTACCCCCATATAGTACATGTATAGAACTGATACCATATAATACATGTATAGAACTGCCACCATATAATACATGTATAGAACTGCCCCCTTATAATACATGTATAGAACTACCACCATATAATACATGTATAGAACTACCCCAATATAGTACATGTATAGAACTGCCACCATATAATACATGTATAGAACTGCCACCATACAGTACATGTATAGAACTGCCACCATATAATACATGTATAGAACTGCCACCATACAGTACATGTATAGAACTGCCACCATATAATACATGTATAGAACTGCCACCATGTAGTGCATGTATAGAACTGCCACCATACAGTACATGTATAGAACTGCCACCATATAATACATGTATAGAACTGCCACCATATAGTGCATGTATAGAACTGCCACCATATAGTGCATGTATAGAACTGCCACCATATAATACATGTATAGAACTGCCACCATATAGTGCATGTATAGAACTGCCACCATATAATACATGTATAGAACTGCCACCATGTAATACATGTATAGAACTGCCACCATATAATACATGTATAGAACTGCCACCATGTAATACATGTATAGAACTGCCACCATATAGTACATGTATAGAACTGCCACCATATAATACATGTATAGAACTACCACCATATAGTGCATCTATAGAACTGCCACCATGTAGTGCATGTATAGAACTGCCACCATGTAGTGCATGTATAGAACTGCCACCATGTAGTGCATGTATAGAACTGCCACCATATAGTACATGTATAGAACTGCCACCATATAATACATGTATAGAACTGCCACCATATAATACATGTATAGAACTGCCACCATGTAGTGCATGTATAGAACTGCCACAATGTAGTGCATGTATAGAACTGCCACCATGAAGTGCATGTATAGAACTGCCACCATATAGTACATGTATAGAACTGCCACCATATAGTACATGTATAGAACTGCCACCATATAATACATGTATAGAACTGCCACCATATAGTGCATGTATAGAACTGCCACCATATAGTACATGTATAGAACTGCCACCATATAGTACATGTATAGAACTGCCACCATGTAATACATGTATAGAACTGCCACCATATAGTACATGTATAGAACTGCCACCATATAATACATGTATAGAACTGCCACCATGTAGTGCATGTATAGAACTGCCACCATATAATACATGTATAGAACTACCACCATATAATACATGTATAGAACTGCCACCATACAGCACATGTATAGAACTGCCAACATGTAGTGCATGTATAGAACTGCCACCATACAGCACATGTATAGAACTGCCACCATGTAGTACATGTATAGAACTGCCACCATGCAGAGCATGTATAGAACTGCCACCATGTAATACATGTATAGAACTACCACCATATAGTGCATGTTTAGAACTGCCACCATGTAGTGCATGTATAGAACTACCACCATATAATAAATGTATAGAACTGCCACCATATAATACATGTATAGAACTGCCACCATACAGTACATGTATAGAACTGCCACCATGTAATACATGTATAGAACTACCACCATATAGTGCATCTATAGAACTGCCACCATGTAGTGCATGTATAGAACTGCCACCATGTAGTGCATGTATAGAACTGCCACCATGTAGTGCATGTATAGAACTGCCACCATATAGTACATGTATAGAACTGCCACCATATAATACATGTATAGAACTGCCACCATATAATACATGTATAGAACTGCCACCATGTAGTGCATGTATAGAACTGCCACAATGTAGTACATGTATAGAACTGCCACCATATAGTACATGTATAGAACTGCCACCATATAATACATGTATAGAACTACCACCATATAGTGCATCTATAGAACTGCCACCATGTAGTACATGTATAGAACTGCCACCATGTAATACATGTATAGAACTGCCACCATGTAATACATGTATAGAACTGCCACAATGTAGTACATGTATAGAACTGCCACCATATAGTACATGTATAGAACTGCCACCATATAATACATGTATAGAACTGCCACCATGTAGTGCATGTATAGAACTGCCACAATGTAGTACATGTATAGAACTGCCACCATGTAATACATGTATAGAACTGCCACCATATAATACATGTATAGAACTACCACCATATAGTGCATCTATAGAACTGCCACCATGTAGTGCATGTATAGAACTGCCACCATGTAGTGCATGTATAGAACTGCCACCATGTAGTGCATGTATAGAACTGCCACCATATAGTACATGTATAGAACTGCCACCATATAATACATGTATAGAACTGCCACCATATAATACATGTATAGAACTGCCACCATGTAGTGCATGTATAGAACTGCCACAATGTAGTGCATGTATAGAACTGCCACCATGAAGTGCATGTATAGAACTGCCACCATATAGTACATGTATAGAACTGCCACCATATAGTACATGTATAGAACTGCCACCATATAATACATGTATAGAACTGCCACCATATAGTGCATGTATAGAACTGCCACCATATAGTACATGTATAGAACTGCCACCATATAGTACATGTATAGAACTGCCACCATGTAATACATGTATAGAACTGCCACCATATAGTACATGTATAGAACTGCCACCATATAATACATGTATAGAACTGCCACCATGTAGTGCATGTATAGAACTGCCACCATATAGTGCATGTATAGAACTGCCACCATATAGTACATGTATAGAACTGCCACCATGTAGGGCATGTATAGAACTGCCACCATATAGTACATGTATAGAACTGCCACCATGTAGTGCATGTATAGAACTGCCACCATATAATACATGTATAGAACTGCCACCATATAGTACATGTATAGAACTGCCACCATATAATACATGTATAGAACTGCCACCATATAATACATGTATAGGACTGCCACCATATAGTGCATGTATAGAACTGCCACCATATAATACATGTATAGAACTGCCACCATATAATACATGTATAAAACTGCCACCATGTAGTGCATGTATAGAACTGCCACCATATAGTACATGTATAGAACTGCCACCATACAGTACATGTATAGAACTGCCACCATATAATACATGTATAGAACTGCTACCATATAGTGCATGTATAGAACTGCCACCATATAATACATGTATAGAACTGCCACCATATAATACATGTATAGAACTGCCACCATGTAGTGCATGTATAGAACTACCACCATATAGTACATGTATAGAACTGCCACCATATAATACATGTATAGAACTGCCACCATATAGTGCATGTATAGAACTGCCACCATATAATACATGTATAGAACTGCCACCATATAATACATGTATAGAACTGCCACCATATAGTGCATGTATAGAACTGCCACCATATAATACATGTATAGAACTGCCACCATATAATACATGTATAGAACTGCCCCCATACAGTACATGTATAGAACTGCCACCATATAATACATGTATAGAACTGCCCCCATATAGTGCATGTATAGAACTGCCACCATATAATACATGTATAGAACTGCCACCATATAATACATGTATAGAACTGCCACCATGTAGTGCATGTATAGAACTGCCACCATATAATGCATGTATAGAACTGCCACCATATAATACATGTATAGAACTGCCACCATGTAGTACATGTATAGAACTGCCACCATATAGTGCATGTATAGAACTGCCACCATGTAGTACATGTATAGAGCTGCCACCATATAATACAGGTATAGAACTGCCACCATGTAGTACATGTATAGAACTGCCACCATATAGTGCATGTATAGAACTGCCACCATGTAGTACATGTATAGAGCTGCCACCATATAATACATGTATAGAACTGCCACCATATAGTGCATGTATAGAACTGCCACCATGTAGTACCTGTATAGAACTGCCACCATATAGTACATGTATAGAACTGCCACCATACAGTACATGTATAGAACTGCCACCATATAGTACATGTATAGAACTGCCACCATGTAGTACATGTATAGAACTGCCACCATGTAGTACATGTATAGAACTGCCACCATATAGTACATGTATAGAACTGCCACCATATAGTACATGTATAGAACTGCCACCATGTAATACATGTATAGAACTGCCACCATATAGTACATGTATAGAACTGCCACCATATAGTACATGTATAGAACTGCCACCATATAATACATGTATAGAACTGCCACCATGTAATACATGTATAGAACTGCCACCATGTAGTACATGTATAGAACTGCCACCATATAGTACATGTATAGAACTGCCACCATGTAGTACATGTATATAACTGCCACCATATAGTACATGTATAGAACTGCCACCATGTAGTACATGTATAGAACTGCCACCATGTAGTACATGTATAGAACTGCCACCATATAATACATGTATAGAACTGCCACCATATAATAAATGTATAGAACTGCCACCATATAATACATGTATAGAACTGCCACCATGTAATACATGTATAGAACTACCACCATATAGTGCATCTATAGAACTGCCACCATGTAGTGCATGTATAGAACTGCCACCATGTAGTGCATGTATAGAACTGCCACCA